TCCCACCTGCATACGCCTCCAGGCACGGGAATTAACCTTGCACGCCCGCGGGCTGCTGGGCTTAATGACTGTCTGTGGGGCCAGCCCTGGCTACACAAGCCAGCTGCTAACATCTGGGCCGCACAGACTAACAACGGCCATACACATATAGACACACACACACACACACAAAGTCCTACATGTGCCATTATACTGTTTGTAATTATCATTCTTTTGTGCACAAATGTGGACGTTTCTATGGACTGCCATCACACACAACGGTTGGCTTTGCATGACTGTTTCGCTGACCCACAGTGGAGCAACAGATGCAGCGTTATAACTGCTTTTGTGTTTATAAAGATCAAATTGCTTGGACATATAGTCAACATAGACTATATGTTTGTCAAATGAAAAATACATGCCTGTGCAAAATAAACATAACCTTCAAGTGGTCTGACTGGAAGAGCTTTCGGTAGGTCCCACTGAGCAAAGAGTGGTATCCTCCATCCAGAATTCATTTGGAATTATATGATTGACCGAAAAATGGGGTGAAGCAATATTCCAAAGCCAAATAAGAATCTAAAATCCCTCGAAAGTGCATTATTTGGACCGCCTCCAAATCTGTAGCACAGCGGATCACCCCAGGAGTATTCCGTATAGGAAATACAGTTATGTGGATACTTTCTTTTCCATTTATTATGTATGAGCATAAATGTTACAAACTAGCAGCTGTGAAGACATCCATGTCTGTATCTTTGAGGGTTGCACAGCTCCTTCCAAGCCACCGCAGTGGAACGCTAAATATTAAGATCCATGAACACTCTGCAGGGAGGCAGAATAGAAAGAGGCCCGTTCCTCCACTCTCACTACTAACTCACTGCAACTTTATTGCGCTTTTGTAGTCATTTATTAAAATCTGCTTAAACGAGAGGTCCAACGACTTATAAAATAGTCGTTTTGTCACTGCAAGGCCTTAAAAGTAATACAAATGCTCTGAATCCTTGGGGGTGCCAAGTATTGTTTTTTTATTCTATTGTTCAGGTGACCCCTTTGTAACCACCCCCCACCACCACTCCTCATATGCACACCTTCCTTCCCTCCTCAGGCCCTGCTACCGCCTCTCTTCATCTGTTTGCCTCTGTCTTAGACTAAGGAGTGAGAGGAGAGGGAGTCCCACTGGCATTCTTTAACATCTCTGTTGCTCACTTGTGTTCAGAGAGCCATCTGTAGATCGGAAAGACAAAAAGACGCTCCTGAGCCTCGGCGTCACTCAACAGGTAAGAAGACCTCTCTCTCTCTCTCTCTCTCTCTCTCTCATGCAGATCCACACACCTATTCAAATGTTTTTAGCTTTTTTTAGAAGGAGATGCCATCATCTGCCTGCCTCAGTCTCTTTCTTTCTGTGCACCCTAGGCAGCCACATGTACTTGAGTTCGTGGAGGTTTAAAAAAAGATTTGCCTCTGTCTCTCAACTTGTTCACAGGGAGGACTGGTTTGTGAGTGTGAGTGTGTGTGTGTGTGTGTGTGTGTGTGTGTGTGTGTGTGTGTGCGTGTCCGTGAAGCTGCTGGAAAAAGTTGATAGGGTGGAATGTAGTCTACTTTGCGGGCTGAGATCTATTCTGTTTGGCACAACAGAGAAAGACATTTTTGAATACAAAATCAATGATTGGAATGCAGTTTGATTCTGTTGATAATTTAATCCGAATCTTTTAGAAACCCTTTTTTCATCCGTGGTTCATTGTTAAAGATGTAATGATTCATAATGCAGCTTCTATGGGCTACTGCAATTGGAGCCACAGGCAAACAGTGAGATTTGTATGAAGTTAGGTTGATATTAAGATGTAGGACCACATCTCAATCGGATGGCTGCCCAGGGATTGAAACTTCATCTTCTGCACATTGACTGATTTCGTGGGGTTTCACATTAAATTGGGCTAGCATTCAGTGTATTGAGTCTTTTGATGGTGATATAAAAGACGCTATTAAAGAACTACCTGTCGGGGTCACGCTGAATGGTTCACATACTTCTGATGCCCTTGCGGTGAGAGTGGCAGACCTGTGACCGAAAGCAAATCCAATTTCAAATCAAACTTTCTAATTTGCATTTGTAAGACACTCAGGTAGAACAAGTTAAACCAAAACTGGCAATGAATGTATTAATGTAAATATGACTATTCAATTCATTTTTGGAATGGTATTTATCTAATGTTACATTTGCAATGGTCAAATGACACGTCAAAATTCTACAAGCAAAAATAACCATCCTAGATGGAAGAAAAAATACACATACCAGCAAATTAACATTCTTGCAACTGGCTGTATTTTGTTCAAGCAACTGTTGCAGTTGTTTGACTAGGTAATGAAAATATGGGCAGGGAAGGGAGGATGTTTCTTAGTTCCAATGAAAACGATGACTCGTGAGGCCAGCAGCCTCTGTTCTGTGTTCTTATGCACCGGCTTTACTTGAGGTCTAAATACCAAAGTAACAGTCTTTGCTGTTTTCATTGTGCTGTAGAGAGTGGAACAAAACCGTGTACTGTGTTATTAAGAAATGGATTAGAAATAATGTCAACATTAGGCAAGATATATTAATTGTTCTTACCTCCGTGGGACGGTGAAACAGAGAATATCAAAAGTGGCCTCTTTATAAATAATTTCTATTCATTCAAGAACGGTAAACTGGGGGCTCTGAAATACACAAATGTTTTGAGAGCAAAGAAAATCATTGAGTGTGAGTTCTTATCAAAGCCTGCTGGAGTGCAACTAATCGGCTGAGGGGAGCTGCGTCGAAGAGCTGTTGCCTACAATTCATTTGATCTATTCAGATGAGAAAATATTTAGTTTTCAATTAAGAAAATCACTATTATTTGTTCCACTCCTTCGGGAGATACATGTAAGTGATTACAAAGTTTAGAAAAAAAATGTAATCGAAAGAGGGCTCTTTTAGGTCAAAAAAGGAAGAGTTTTGAATGCAATCAGTACAGACCTAATTCCAAACCGTCCCTGAGCCATAATTCTCATAAAGGGCTTGATGCTGACATCATGTATCTATGGGAAATGACCCGCCACAAACAAATACACAGGAATGTTTACATGACTCTCTTAGAGGACCATTCTTTTAACCTGCCCACTCAACATGTCGTCATGCCTAAACAACACAATACCATCCATTATGCTAATGTGAAGGCAACTAAACACTATTCCCATCGACCATACAATAGCTAAACAGCATCATATTTTATTTCTAGACATAACAAGTATGTGTATTTATATATATATATATATATATATATATATAAATAGAGCTTTTTTAAAAGTATACAAAGCTGTGTTTCTGAAGGAGGCACTTTCTGTTCAATACACTTTTAAATTATTAACATTATTGATGTTTATCATATTATGTTGCAATTTCTATAATGTTGAAGGCATTTTCTGCTCTCAAGGACCCGCTGGTTTCATTAATTTAAGTGCTGTATAAAAATCAACTTGCACGGTTGAAAGGTATCTATTTACCCTGCATCAGTAGTACAGAGATGCATTGCTCTGATCTTTATCATCAGCTGATTCTGAATTATTGTGCAAAGAGAAGCCAGATGAAATGCAAAAGAAATCCAGAGCTCTTCATAACAACTATTCCCATCTTAAAATGTATTGAATTAATTCTAAAATAAATTAATTTGTTATCTTGTGACTCATCAGGAGACTAAAGGAACTAAGTCACTCAAACACTAAAGGCTCTTCAACAATCCTGAAATACAAATGAACGATTTCTTACTGTTATTTTTCCTCATATGTTTTTAAAGTTGTTAATGTTTTCCATGCAGACTAATGCAGAAATTATTGATTGATTAAATTATCTGATTGGGACTTGGGGGCTGGATGCCGAAGGGAATAGTAATAAATATTGCAAACATAGTGTGAAAAGTCCTAAAAAATATAAACAAGTAAAGACTAAAGGCTTTTACTCCACTGCTTGACTTAATTGAAATGACCCCTAAAGGGATGCATCTACATGTACGTTACATGTTGTTGTGTATATCTCACATAGATTTTCTTTTTATTTGTTGTTTTAGGATTTAGGGTAGGAAGTCAGGTGTCATTGCTGAAATGGACTTCTGCTCAGCGTGGATCGTGTCTCCTTCCACTCTACTCTTTTTATGTCTCATCTTGGGTAAGAGAATCGAATGTGTACACGGAGCTATCGTCACACTAACCTGAGTCCTTCCAGTTCAGCCCATTCAACTGAGCAGTGCAAACCTCGACTTTATTGACACTTAACTTTTGCTGGATCATATTTATGATTTTATATGTATGTGTTTCCCTATGCATTTGTAAAGGTTTACAGTGATGCATTGGCTGTTGGAATAAGTCAGCTAATCAGGTTAGTCTTTTAATAATCTCTTATTCTTATTAAAATCTGGTCAAAGATACCACATTTACTGCAGTATCGATGGGTTTACACACATTCATATATATGTTTCTTCTTTCTCTTTTATTTCTTTCATCATCTTAGAGAAGTAAGGTAGTGAGCTGGACCAATATTGACCTCGTCACTGCTGTCAAATAGGAAACCAGCTGCTGCTTCTTTTATGTGTGCTAATTTGCTGGTGAAGCTTTCTTTCTATGATCCTAGGTAGAATAGCAAATGTTGCCAACTTATTGTCTCCCAGGGTATTATTTTTTTTTTTGCAAATAGCGTAATCTAAAAAAAACTGCCCAAAATGTTGTCACATGACCATAGTGACTTTTCTCATGTGATTGTTGTCAAGCTGAAGGTAAAGCCGTCCAGTGTGAGCATATGCACGTTATCTTTGGCAGTTTTTATTTCCCTCATTTCCCTTCTATTGCAACCTGGTTTATACAGAAAATGACCAACATCAACTGATGGTGGCTATTATAGGCACCGTATTTCCCGAGTAGTTTCCATGGTGAATAGTACACAGGCATCCAGTTCATTGACTCAACATAACTCTAAGTGATCTGACAATATGGTGAACAACATAGTCTCAATCTCAATCGTGTCTTATGATTGGAGAGGAAGATTTAGCTGTAAATTAACCTCAGCTTTGACATTAAATAGTACATTGTTTTGTGAGTTTCATAGTCTTGATATTTCATGTCAAAGTGAATGTAGAATGTAGTGGGGAGATTGCAGGCATATGTAATCATGTACGTCCAATCTTGAATAATATGAATCAATATTTCACAGCGGATAGTTTGTCTGTTGTGATAGTTGTAATTGATAACTTTGATTAAGATGGCGTTGTTGCATTCCATTCAGGTGCTGCCGCTCCGGCACCCTGCTGATGTGATCAATACTTGCTTGCCTGCAAGCATGCAGTCAGTTCGTTCATTTAAAAAGGTCTTCTTGTAGTAACTGGCATTTCAGATGTGGTGACAAATTCACAGCAAATTCCCCAAAATTATTCATACAACAACTTAAGCTCAACATTGTGGTAAATGAGCAAAATGCTGCATAATAGCCACCGATGACCCTCGGACACTGAACAGACTGAATTCTCCTTCATTTCAACTTACTTCCTTTGGTGTAAAGACTTCGACGTCATCATTAGCAGGCTGACTGGAGGAGTAAAGAGCAAAGAGGAGGGAGTATCAACCTGTTATTTTGTTGGAAAAGCATTTAAATGTAAATCTGGGAAAAGGTAAGTTAACAGTAGCATGAGCAGAGAAGAGCTAATATATTAGTAAAGTAACTGACGGCCAAATCCAGAGCTAATTTCGTTCCTCTCTTAATGTGATGGGCCAGACTCCCGGGTTGGGATGCAGGTTTAGATTAAGCACTAGTGTACTTGCTCTACGGGCCCCAGAGATACTGATTGACAGAAGATCCAGAAAATACAAAACCAGGAAATGACTTGTTACTTGTACTTTGTTTCATGCACCACGCTGCAACGATCATAGGAAGACATGAGGTCTGCTATCTAACTGTGTATCCAGTGGTCTTTATATGAATTTCATGAATTAAAAAAAAAATCCTCAATGATGGCAAGGTACCTAATTCGCATTTACTGTCTTACACTTTTCAGTATTGTACGCTAAAGTTCCAGTGGCAAAACTATAAATGTAATGAACTTAATAAGGTTCCCTCTATTGTTATTCAAATCATTTTGTGACAGGGAGCTTGTGTTGTTTATTTATTTAAAAGTTACATAATCTCACTTTCAGACAATCTTATCCTGGTATTTAGTATTTCTATATCTCAGAATTATAAAGTAAAATGATTTCAGATGTAGACTGCGGTTGAGTATGCATTTATGTAAACTGTATGCAAATGTTCTCCTGTGTTTGGTTGTTTGCATGCATCCTCTGTAGTGGCCAATCTTGCCCTTCATATTTGACGTGAGGTGACTGGTTCAGCCTTGATCTGAGAGCTCTGCCTCTCACTCATCTTGTCAGACGCAACAGAGCATGCACTTCACAAACAACTTGGTCGTTGCTTCAATGAAGGTCAAGATTCAAACAACTTGGTGGAATCAGGCTGCCTCCTCTATGGGGCATTGTTTAAACAAGAGTCAGCCGTAGATATGAGGCATTAATTAGAGTATGTGGTTGTGTTTGGCTCCTTGACCTGAACTGAATCATAAACCCGATGCATAATAATACTAACCCCCAGTGTTCGAGGCTCATGCGTGGCTTCTTCTAAGGTTACCTTCCTGACTCGAGTGCACTGCACCAACGAATGTCACCTGAGAGCCTGGCTGAAGGATGGCTAGCCACACCTGCGACAAACAACAGGGATTAAAGTGATAATCATTACTCTTCCCACGAGGAATTAGCTGGTGGGACATCAACACTGAAGGAAAACATACGGGTGAACGAGGTCTCTTGATGCCCCATGCTTTTTCCCTATACGATACCCTATCTGCATGGCCGAGGGGGGATTTAATTTGCAGTAATTACATTATTGACTCATTTTCCGGTCCGCATCACTGCAGTCTCCCATCAATAAAACATATGCCAAGATGAATAATGTGGCCAGACACAATGGGGTTCCTTCTCACACAAAAGACCACAAGACTGCATCCCTGTGGTACATGTTGAGGATATTTTCCCTCCACTCCTTTTCTTTAGCTCAATAACAGTCATTGCACAAGAGCGGCCCTTGCTCTTCTCCACCTCTTCAGAATAAAACCCATCACATCCCCTGCCTGCTCCGCTCCAACTACTTTCCTCCTCCTCCTCCTCCTCCTCCTTTTATATCTCCAGGCACGCATGCCCAGCAGGCCTTCAGGTCTGAGCCCAGGAACCTCACTGTGCGGATGGGAGCCACAGCTGTGTTGAGGTGTGAGGTCCTGAGGGCCTCAGGGACGGTTCAGTGGGAGAAAGATGGCCTCCTCCTGGGACCACAGAGAAGCCTGCCTGGCTTTCTGCACTACAGCATGATTGGAAATCCCAAGAGAGGTAAACAGGGGATACTAACAGAATAAGGTATTTGGTCTATTGGGCTTTGATGGACCTATCCAAGCTAGATAAATGAACTTGTGTGTTAAATACTCCACTAAAAAGATGCAATATTTATTCATCATAAATTATCTATTGCGTGAGGCTGTGTGGGTTTAAGATCCAGTTGAGTGGAATAAAATAAAATAACGCTAGTCAAAATAAAGCAGAGGTTAGAACATGATGCCAGATGTAGAGATGGTCCTTGAATGTGCCAAAGAAAATAGCACGCTGTCAGTGTTAAATTAATATGTATTTAGATACGTATTGTTTTGATTAAGAACTACTGCTGTTGCTCAAAGTGCTGTAATAAAGTAACCCAGAGACTGCAGGAAGCTTATGGCACGTTGGCTCTCGATACAGGAAACATCTGGGAGAGAGGAGGTGATGTGATTGTCGATAGCCTCTCACGCATCACGCTCCACGCTCATTGTCACTCACGCGTTAAGGAAAAAAAGCAACAAAGTCGGTGTCAGCAAATCGCTGAAATGTGGCAGGAAATAAAACGCGTTGCAGAATCTGCAACACAAGTCTATAAAAAGTAATAGCCAATTAGAAGGCAATCCTGAGTAAGAGAAGAGCATCTGTTCCTGATCAGCCCGCTACTAGAAATCCACACTTTCCTGTTACACAGTGTGGGAGACCGCCAGCGGCACATAAACACTACATAGATGCCCATTCATGCGTTGTCCATGCTTACTGACGCCTAGAGTTAACAGAAAAACCAGCATGTAAAACACTTGCTGTCAGCTTATTATCAAATTACAGTAAGCATTGCAGCAGGTACAAGTTAAGGGGAAAAAAGTGCCTATTTTAATCTCAATAACAACCCAATAAGGTATACACGTGGACACATGGACCACAAACACACGCAAGCTGTCAAACAGGCAAACACACTCATGAATAAACTACCCATCTGCGCAGGTACACTTTACCAGAAAAAGAACCTGCACACTGATGTAAGCAATCACTTTTGCTCTGCAAGGAAAGCGCAAAATCATTTAAGATGGCACTTGACTGCACTTGATACTCCACCAGGTTCCGCTGATTGTCACTATCAGCGATGTTTAACGACACTTTAAAAAAGCCTGAAATCACACATTCACAAAAACAAAAGAGGCCAGCGTTGATTTCCACACATACTTACAGTAGATGTTGCACCCTTTAGTTGGAAGTGGAAGCAATAATGTCAGAGTATATGGATGTAAGCCTATTTCTAGAATGTCAGGCATTTGTGCAAAACACGTGCATTGCAAAGACAAACAAATGGAAGAACAGATAAAACAGCTTGTTCAAGGGACCAAAGCAATAAGTTTCCGCAATTTAATTTTGACGGTCGGTCCATGAAGTGTAGTTTGATTATAATCCATTGTATGCAGACAGTCATAAAGTAAAATTTAGTTGTGAATAAGCACTGATATTGACACAGATTAAATCACATTATTCTTAATCAGTTTGTATTAGATAAAATACTGCTTTCTTCTCAAATTATATGAAATGAAAGTGAGCGTAACTATATCCTTGATACTCTGCTGACTGAGAGGTACTAAAGTTAAACAATTGATATTAGTGAGGTTTCTGCCTTCGGAAAAATATGTGTTCGCAGCTTTAGGGCCAGTACGCAAATGCAGGTTTGCAGAGAGGACAACATCTTACTCTACCGCTGACCTAATGGCTATGAGGTTATACTGTACCCCGAAACGTTGAAGGCCCCAGCTAAAATAAATACAAAGTAATGGACATATAAGCAAATGGCGTTGCAGCCATCCGCCACCTCTCCGACCATACAACTTGATTGCACTATTTGTGTTTAATTCCAGGAGAGGAATATGATTAATAACTTCAATGTCTCTCTCTCCCTCTCCCTCTCTCTCTTTCTCTCTGCACTCAATGATAACTTAGATGTTAAAAATTGCTTCTTGTTGGTGTTAATTATCTTGCCAGCTTACTTGACATAAGCAATTTTCGACCCAGTTGGTTGTCAGTCTAAAAAACTCTTTTGCACGTTAGACACTCAGGAGCTGGTAAACCAACACTGTACATCATCTAATCTGCACTCGTTATGACAATGCATCAAACAAATCAAGCCATGTTGGCATGCCAGACTACCAGAAGAGAGCGAGTAAGAGAAGGACTCCATTCAAGGCATCCATTCATTAATGCGCGGTTTATACAGCCGGCATTGTGCATTCATTTGACATGCTGAAAAGTAATTCTGAAGACAAATGCCTCTGCTGTAAGTTTAGACAACGACTTGCATGTCTATGGAAAAGCCTTCAGCAAGAAATTATCAGCAACTGAGATGTTTCCACTTCCCCAAACGCCAGTAGTAAGGCATATTACACTATTGAATTGGAATGCCAGACTGTCATTGTGTAAATTGCTTTTATTGTTAATTTTCCCATTTCCCACATTAAAAATGACCTGTAATTCAGACATTCTGCAATCAGCTGGGGCCTGCAGGAGGTACTCATCAATCCAAATGCAACGACTCCAATGAGAGGCGGGAAGAAAACTACTTAGGCTTTCCATCTTTGTTATTTTCTATAATCATCACAACATGACATGATATGTCCAATTGTTCTCTCCCTCTCTTCTCCAGGGCAATATCATCTTCAGATTGAGAAGGCCAAGCTGGAGGATGAAGCTTTTTACACGTGTCAAGTGGGCCAGTCCGAGAGCAGCCAGGCAATCGTTTCCAGTTCGGCCTGGGTCAACGTTCTGAGTAAGCGCCACCACAGAGAGCGTGAACGCAGGATATTTGGGTTCTTATAAACATGCGTGTTCTTTGTCGGAGTACCCAAATGTTGTACTATAAGACACAGGGAGTATTTTCAGCATTCCAGGAAGATATACAACCTTCTGACCGGTAATCAGCATATAGAGAGCTCTTAAATATTCATTAAGTTGAAAAAGACCTTTTAATTTGCTAGTTACAAGGCATTTCGAGTAGTGCTCAGTTGAACTAAATAGAAACTGTCCTTGGTGCAATCAAACCCAGCATTTTCTGTCAAGCGCAAATCATATTTAAATGTATGAGCCATGAAGAAAGACAAAATTGAACGAACTTTTCTGGTATTTATTTTTTTAATAAGCACTATAGCTTCCCCACATGACGGCAGGTCTTCAGCTTCCAGCAGCTACATAATATGAAGTATTAGAATAACTTGAAACCACAGCAAGCCTGGAGGCAATCCACGTCTTCCTGTGCACTGGAATAAATTATAACAGAAGTGATGGAAAAGTTCCTATTCATACATGGGCTGGACGTAATTTTCTGACGACATTAGACATCCTGTTGTCACGCTACAACAACGGGTATCGCTCTCTCTCTCTCTATCCTTCTTGCTTGTGGGAAAAAGCCCATGTGTGGCAGGGAAAGGACTCTAAAAGAACCTTTCTTCTCCCGGCCCCGTTCATTGCTTGCATCCCCCACCCCATTCAGCACGATTTCCCCCTCTCTCGTCATAGCTTTCCGGCTTTTTCTTTTTTAGTGGACAGTGGGGGGGGGGGGCGAGGAGGGGGGGTTGCCGTGGCGATTCTAGTGGCCTCGCTCTCCTCTGAGAAGAAAGCAGGTTTTTCTGACATCAATGGGCCAGTGGGAGGGATGGCAGGCGGTGTGGGATAGGAAGAGGCATAGACCGCGGACATCTCCTTTGAATGCCTGCGTTCTGTTCTACGCCGCAGCAGCCTACAGCAGGCCCCACCTGAGTCCACAGCAGGCTGGACTCCCACATTTATTACCTCCGCGATTGCATATTGTACGCGCGCCCACACATGCACAAAGTCAACAGATTGCCTTTGGCTTTGTTGAAAAGGTCAAAATGTGTGGAATTATGTTCGAGTTGCATCGGGGATCGCTAGTTGTATTTATCATGATTGAGGCTTACTGCTGCTGTGTGTGTGTGTGTGTGTGTGTGTGTGTGTGTGTGTGTGTGTGTGTGCGCGTGTGCATGCTCGGGTCTGAATCTAAGCGGCTGTCTTGGTAAAACACTTTACAGCAGTTGACTGTTTAAGACGGACAGTTGCATCTGCACTGCTCCAAAGGGCAACGAGCATAGCGACTGATTTAAAAAGCACTGTGCAGCCTCGGTCCAAAAGGGTCATTTGTTCCACCTTACCAACTCAACTGATTCAAAATACGTTGCTAATCTGGGGCTTGATAATGAGCTGATGAATTCAATCTCCTGTTAGTGCTGAACTGGGACTGGAAACTGTGCATCCTTTTAAAGAGCACCATCCCTGATGAGATCCCCGTAGACGTCTCCATCACTGAACTACAGCTCCCAGGGCCCCACACCGCTGGCTAGTCAACCGTGGCCATTCCCCATCAAGGTCTGCATCAAATCAAAACACTATAAACTCTTCATGAGGCGATACAGTAAGGGAGAGGGGAGGAATGTGAAAACAAAATAGAGATTGCTGATGGTATAATTGGATTCTTGGGTCAGAGGGAGCGTTATCATGACTGGCTAATTCAAGATGGATCCCTACAGGCGGCGAGTAGCGGGGACGGGGACAAAAATGTCAATACGCTCCATCTACGTGCTCACAAAGGGATGTTTTCAAGACATTTCCATCGGCGCAACATAACTCTTGTGTGTTTTTTGCGTTCCTGTGGAGCTTAGATAAGGGATTACTGCAATAGGCAGATCAAGTGACAGTGAGTAATCCATGACAATAACAACCTCTGCCCCCCCCTCCGCTAAAAACCCCCGCATGTCTAAAACTTACCCCGCACTGTGCCCGTCACATACCTGACACATCCTGTGTCTCGGCTTATACCATTAGTGTTAATCCTATTAATGAACAACTCTCTGCCCCACTGCATTGCATTGCTGCAAATGTTCAGAACATTTATTTGATGTGTTCTGGTTTAAGAATGTTTTACTCAGTTGTTATAGTTTGTGTGTGTGTTTGTGTGTGCGCGTGTGTACAAGCTTATTATCAGTGTTGGTTGGAGGTTAGAGGACACTTTAGGAACCAGGGCTATAGTGAGGTTTTTGCGGTAGCTAATGAGTTTAGCACTTGAAGAGCATATAATGAGCCTTCATTTCATGATTCCCAGTTATGAATAATGGAACAATTTATAAGTGGGGGCACGAGTAACGTAGAACATGGTGACTTTACTCATCTTTGTTCACGGAAAGTTCTGATAGTTGTCCAGGATGTAACCCCATCAGATGGTGTGTTACACATTGGTCTGACAGTGTGCATATTACCATGCCAGACAATTATCAAAGGACGCGCTGCTTAGCAGTAAAATGAGACACCAAAGGGACAACTGGAATCTTCTCTCTCCCCTGGTTTTTATCAATATGAGGCCCAAGACCTAAAAAGAGAGAGTGGGTCAGGGACTTAATCAGTCGTGGCGGTGGGTAAGTGGAGATGGGGCTGCTGCTTCACTTCTTCCCACAGACCAGAAGAGAACAGAGCAGATGGGGAGGGTGAAGCAGAGAGGAAGGGGAAGCAGAAAAAGAGCAGTGTTTCAGAAGCTTTCATTGCCAGAGATCACACACCTGAGACCTACAACGTGTGTACACATGTGTGTGTGTTTGTGTGTGCGTGTGTGTGTTCATGCAGATATGGGTATAAAAATACACCCTTGTGCACGCCAATCTTTGTTTTCCAGAGATAAAACTTAGTTGTGCCTGTGTGATATTGAGAAGTCTTTATTATTATTATTAATTCAGCATTATAGGATTTTTAAACGAGTTTATGCTTTTTAGACGGTTTTATCCTTCGGTCCCTTTTTCAATATTTTCAAAAAAATCAGCTTGGTGTCTCGTTTTAGACTGTTTACACACAGGCGCCTGTTTTTAGATGGAATTGAGCCGAATGTACCTTGTCTGCACACTCACTTGCTTGTGCATGTATGTTTGTTTATGCACATCTGCCTGCACCACAGACTCACTCGAGTTTATTGTTGGGTGTTTGTGTGCAAAGTAGGGAAATTGACTGTGTGCATCTGGGCACGAATGAGGAAATCCATTATTGAATATGCATATTGATGTGTGTCTGCTAATCTGCTTCTTATCTGCCTTATCCATCCATCCGTCTGTATTGGTCTAATGAATCAGATTTTGCGGCTCACTCTCTTCAGAAAGGCAGGAGGAAGTCTTTGCGTGCCTATTTATTATTGTGTTGATATATGTACCTTAATAAGAGCGATGGGACTAGAAAGCAGAGAGAGAGAGAGAGAAAGAGAGAGAGAGACAGGGAGACCAAATGACAAAGCCATCAGGCAATTAGACAGAGACGCGGAAGAAAGAGTTCATTTAAAGTATAGCTTGTTTGCTGTCTTTTTTGTGTGAGTGCATGTCTGCTAAATTAAATAGAGTGTTTTGTTGTTGTCCACACACGCTATTTGAATTTGTACAAATGTTCATCCTGACTGGGCTCTATGAGTCACTTAGTTTGCAGATGTGACGGATGGCCGGGACACACCTTCCTCCTCATGTCTGCAGCTTAACTGCAGTGGTCAAGGGGATGGTGTGGCGAGAGAGGGGTGGGCTCGGGGCTGCTCGACAGGAACGATGGAGCGAATGAGAGATAAGGGGGCCGGGGACAGCATGAGCTAGCGAGGGAAAAAAAGAAAATCAGATACCAGCCCGACTCATTTGCTAACATATCATTCTTTTTATTCTAGGATTTGTTTGCCTGCCAGACACTACCCTAGCACAACAACTGATGTTGAATCGTTGCAGCCCTTAGTAGATTGAAAGTGCAGGGGGCTGTCAATAGATGCATGGCCCAGTCATCTTCTCAGGGAAGAGGTGGGGGGGGAAACAACAAACAAATGCATCTCATTATTGCAGCGTGCGCCTCTGCAGTGCTCTGGGTAACCCATCACAGTCCACACAGATTCAATTGCTTCTTTTAAATCAGTTTGAAGCTGCAGCCACATCTCATCTGTCTCAATAGCGGACTGGAGCCAATGGGTGACTCTGTACACAGCAACAGCTCCTCCTAGTGGCCAGGAATTGATTGCATTTGCCCAAAGAGATGGAGAGGAGTTGAAAGGCGGACTTGTTTGCTCGTGGTTCAGCCCTCTAAACACACATTAGCCGTGGATTCGCCTCAGAATTCAGCAACAGCTATCCTACGGCCTCTGCTCCCTTCTGCAGCTTGTCTCTTACACCATTTTTATTCTTGCCATATCTCTTTACTCCTCCGTCTTTCATGTCTCTCTTACACACCACATGTATCCAGCTTGTACTTTGCAATTCCCCGTTCTGTCTCTGAACTCGGGCAGCCTTTGCACTGCATCTGTGATGAAAGAAAACGACCTTAACAGTAACCATAGTTTGTAATTCTACTGGCTCACCCACTCGCTAAAAGCAGACACAATAGGTTTCTGTAGCGTGTACAATTTTCAACCATAAGTCCTAGTAAAGAGTGACTCAGAGAAGTGCATCAATCTCTTTCATAGTTAGTTAGGGAAAAAATGTCTCAATTTTCTGCCAAACAATTCCCGGTGCCTTTAAAAGCTATGTGTTTTTTTCTCCTATTTATGGTCAGATAAAAGGATTGTAGAGTAGAACAGTGGAGTAGTTCTTTGACTGCTTTGATCAGTCCAAAAAGCACAAATTTAGCTTGGGGGTGATCTGAGAATAGAAGTGTTTGGTGTTTGCTATGATATATTAGTGCTAGATTGGTTTCATTACTCTTTCATCTCTTCTTGTCCACAATTTGTATTCTAACTCAACGGCACATCCAACCTTGATGTAGTAAATCACTCAAAAGCTGCCAGTGTGACAATCCAGTCACTCCCAAATGTGGCGAGCGCTTATTATCATATCATTGCATGAGCTAATATCCATACGTCATAGATCTGGCTTCCCCTAATCAATGATTAGTCTGATGAATATTCGCTTAATGATGTGATTAATATGAAACTGGAGCTGTTTTCTCTTTTCTCTCACTCAGTCCCCCCTTCCAAGCCGTACTTTGAGGTGGACATGAAAAGTCCTTGGGTGGCAGGAAGGAAGTACGTCGTCGCCTGTATCGCTCCTGACGCAAAGCCAGAGGCTGAAATCACGCTATATAAAGGTGCGTTACCCCTCTCAACGGCACTGAATCTAACAGTGAAGGTCAACTTGACAGCTTGGGACAAAGGGCAACAGCCCTGATAGATTCGGATAGATTACAACCTGAATATTTGCAGGAAGCAGACTCTGCAGGAGGAAATGGCCTAAACATTTGAATTTTTTTTTCACTTTCAAATTGCATGAAGAGAAAATGTATTCAAGTTCCAAGTTGCAATCTTTGCATTTTCTGTTTTTGCCTTTTGCTCCCTAAATGACTGTATATCACAGAGAGGGAGGGATGTCTTTTTTCATTGTGTGAATTTGCTCTGTACGTCTTTATTGTTATCAGTAAAATGTGGTTGTATTTTTTCTCATTTTGTAATCCTGCAGTGGTTTTATTTCAGTTCAAAGAGAGGTTGAACGGGTGTTACACTGTTACTGTCCCCTACTGTACCCGCAGAACACATGCTCATCAGATTCCAGTATTTACTCTTTCACACACAAAGAAAACTGATGTTTTGGTTTCACCTGAACTAATTTACACATAGTATTCTCTTTTTTTTGTGTTCCTCCCCCCTGTTGTTTCTTCAGATGGAGTCGAGCTGACAGGGACAGAGTCTTTCACCACGTCTGGCTCAAAGGATAAGCTCCTGAACACGCATACCAAAGTAACGTATGTGTTCACCCGGCTGCCAGACTCAGTCTTCTCACCAACATGCTCAATCTCTCCAAGTCTGTCTTTGTCTTTCTGTTTCCCTCGTTTTCACCCCGCTCGTACATTCTCCCTCTGACTTAGGGAGCACAATGAATCTCTGCACACAGCGAGCTGATACTTGGCACCGTGCGATTGAATTAGCTTCTGTCAAATGCACAAAATTACATTGCGCCAGCGAGACGGATCCGATCCTCGCCGGTTCGCCAGGTGCCTGTACATTAAACAGAGCCATAGATTACTTTAATCCTGCTTGTCTCCTCTGTGTCAAAGATAATAACCTCTTGTCATATCCTGAGATAACATTGGTCCTGAGGAGCTGCAGCGTTGTTCGGCTCTATTGCAGAACAGCCAAGGTCTTTAAGCAATATTGATGCGCCTTGCTCTTAGTCACACTGAGCGTACACAGCATGTGCGATTGTTAGGGTTGACATTGTAGTGTAATTTGGTATGGAAGACATGAACTGAGAAAGTAAACCAGGCTCAGAATAAATCAAATCCATAGTAGATACTTCAATGTACATTTGTGAGCTACTTGTATTTTACTTGAGTACAACTCACCTGTCACCTGTCTGTGGCTTTAGTAGAAACCCCAAAGAGATATTTTTATTCTAATGTCATTAGATGGTTTAGTTTAAAGACATTTTTTCTAACTCAGTATTTCACCAAAAGGCAAAGAAAAAGTGAGATTAATGACTACGCAGCGCCTCGTGGTAGCTCACACTCGCCATGTATCAAGGCCGAACAGCAGCGAGCCTTTGCCTCCTTTGCTGGATGTTAACCCGTCTTTGTTTCTCTCCAAGCTATCGCTAGCCAACAATGCACAATTGCAGAAAAACAATCTTTGGAACAAGAAAAGAAAAATGACTACACATTTGTGTACCAGAACTCCCTTTTTTCTTTTCTTTCCCACCTCATTCATCATCTGGTGACGCCTCGGACTTATCTTTTGACTCTTAGATTGGGAAACGTTAAACTAAACTACTAAACTGTATATAAAGTACTGAAAATGAGCAGCGCCTCTGCCAGCTACAACATTATTATGCTGCAGGCACATTGATGCGCCAGTGTTTGCAATCTAACAAGTACTTTGATAGGTAAGCACATTCTACTGATAGCACCTCTGTGCGTTTGACTCTATACTGTGTTTACATTAATGCTGTGGTACTTTTGTTCCCCGAGCCTTAGTGCTTCCTATGGATCAATGTGTACTTTGTTTGTCTTTGTTTGACTGTTACCTCCCAAAGGGTCACCGCTCTGAGCTCTGATAACGGGAGGCAGCTGGCGTGTCACGCCAACAACCCCGCCCTTTTGCGGCGTGTGGAGACCACAATGACCGTGAACGTGTACTGTGAGTGTCTCAACCTTTCTCCAAACTGACAGTCAACGCCCCCTCTCATGAAAAAAAGAAACACGGTGTACAAACACACTCAAGCGCACAGGAACCCAACCTCATCGAGGCTCAAGGGTATCCGGCCTCGTGCACTCGGTCTGCGTTAGTGGTCCAAGGAGAAACATTCAACCTGAAGGCAAACTCACACCTACTTTAAGTCACTGCGACTCTGCCTCCATCACAGAATGCTGCCCCTGGTGGGCTGAGATTGATGTGAACAAAGCAGGACGTCAAGGATGTTTTGTACAGTAAAACCATGTGTTCCACAGTGTTTGCTAACAGGGAAAAATGTACACACTTTAAACTCTATTCTTCTATTTTGTAATCGTTAAATCATCCACATTCCCCAATGTTAAACGAGACAGTTACACCAACTATTAGGACAACTGAGATTGATAGTTACAGTAAGGCTTCAAATAGGGCATTTTTAAAACACTTTAATAGCTAATAAGGGAGGCTGAAGCCACCGCAGTTAATAATAATGAATCCTTAAAGGTATTATCGCAAACCATTCCACGTTATGTAATAAGATTGTAACTGCAGCACACAATGGTGAGTGGTCTCATTTCATTTGGCCTTTTTCTTGTCCCTCTTTTTGAGCGAGGCAACAATGAAAGCCATTGTTCCGCATGCGGTGTGACACTGCAGCCACTGCTTCTTTACAGTTGGTTCAGTATTTTTCTTCTTTGTTGATCAGTTAAAGTAATTGATTGTTTGAGTCTATACACCTGCTGCTGCTCGCAGGCCTGAATCGCGTGGTTGATTAAAGTGGAGCCGGGCCGCTGTGCAACCCACCGGCTGACTGGACAACTTAATGTTGTCTCTATCTATACTCCTCCACATTAGACGCCGCCGCTGTTTTTAACAACAGCCGATAACCGTGAGCACCTCTCCCTTTCTCTCTGTCTGTCTGCTCTGTATTAAACAGTGTGTTCTCTGTGCTAATGCTGTGGAACTTGGGACCACCGCTGCAGTCTTACTCAGCGCGCCAGCCCATCAAAGCCAGCGCGCCGGCCATTCAACGCGAGCCAGATTGTTACTACGGTGACAATTTGTCACGCCGGCCCAGGGTCTGCAGCCTGTTCTCTCCGAAACGGCAATAGCAAAAGCCTGCCCTCTATTTATACCGCGTGCGTTTTATTCAAGGGGGCTGTAATTTGTTCATATTTCACATTGCCTTATTAGGGTTTGAACATCTGTTATTTTGCTTTATGGACTTGATCTAGCTCACTGCTCCCATAATACTTAATACTTTCATCAGATCTGGACCTCTTATCCCACAGTCTTGTTGAATGCGTCCAATTTATTGGCCCCGTCTCGACAAATATGGATGCTCCCTACTCAATTGCCAAGAGTGTTCTCATTGCGCTGCAGTTTCTTTTTTTATGTCATCCTATCCTGTTACCCTGAGTTACTACATCCCATCTTCTCCCTCACCCGTTTCTCCTCCGTTTTCTCTCTCCATCTGTGCCATTCCCCTTTGTCAAGTCCATTTTCCATTTTTGTCTCTCGTTTCCTGGCAGTCCCACCTCAGCCTCCAGTTATTCTAGGTCTGGAGAGAGAAGATGTCAAAGCAGGGAGAATACTCGTGTTGGAGTGTGTGTCTCATGGTGGAAACCCTTTAGCTTCTCTCCACTGGACCAAGGTAAATCCTCAGCACCATCTGTTGAGGAGGCTTTGTGAAACACTGTCACACCGACAGAAAGAGCTATTTTACTAGTATCACAATATATTTAGCCTCTGTGTTTCATTCACTGCACCAGATGGGACTTTGCAGTTATTCATGATGAATTCTTTATGTGGCCACGTTGAATTTCCTGCTTTCATCTCTGTCAGAACGGAGAAGTTTTGTCCAGGACTTGGGAAGCAGATGTTACAACGCAGAAGTCCAGAAGTGTCCTCAAACTGAAGATCACCCCAGCAGACAACCAGGCAGTGGTCTGCTGTGCGAGTGAGAATCTGTCCCCGTCCCGTCTGTCCGTCAGCCACACAATCACCGTGCTCTGTGAGTAAAAATGGTGTTCGAGATAATAAACAGCGCTGAAGCCCTGGCAGCACTCGCACCAATGGATAATTTAGGATGAGGACATGAGGTCAATTAATATAATAAGTCTTACCTCCAGAACCAACTATTTTGCTGACCCAGCATAATTCTTTTTACAAATATCATTAATGAAACTAATGGTTGTTATGGCTGCAGCCCATATTTCTGTCTGGCTCCAGCTTAGTATCGTTGCATGCTCTTTCATAGCTGCTAAAATAATTCAGCTGAATCGCTTCGATTCACAATCCTGAGGCGAAAAAGCCTACACTTTGTGCAATAGTAACGCCTATGGTTAATAGATTATAATTTCCTCCCTGAATATAAAAAGGTTTGTTTCAGCAACAATAAAACAAATACAGAATTATTATTCAGCCTATCAAGAGCCTGATTTACACCACAGCGCCCAGTCAGAGCTTTAAATGTTGTGTGATTGATGCACCTATTTTGTGTAACGATGAATTTAAACTAGAACGGGTCCTTGGGGAAATATTTCACTCACACTACGGAAAGGTGTCTGAAGTTATACTCCAGTGCCCCTACTTAAGACCCCCAAAACCCCCTTGTGTCATGCCTCATAGTCATCCATTCAGGGATGTTGGAAATGAGCTGCTGACTGCCTGACTGCGCTGCAGGCCCTAGCAAAAGCTGCAGGGCACAGAAAGAAATGTCACTGGCGAGATGCGAATACACCTCTCTTACCTCATGGCACCTGCTTCATTTCAACAGCATTTGCGTGTGTGTGTGGTGCACACATGCATCTCATTCCCTGTTTCATGTGGGATAGACTCACATGAGAATAAAGACGTACATGCATGACCCTTCTTTCCCTTTGTTCTGCCGGCGCAGTCCCCGTTCTTTGTTTTCCCCTGAAGGCTTTATGCAGCTGCATCACTTTGCCTGCAGCTATTGTACCCCGTCTCCCCCCCGTGGTTAAGACGAAGCTCACTTTAGAAACCACATTGAAAACCTCCTGAGAAAACAAGTTGCCACTCAAAGTGATTTTCCTTCTCCCCCTCTGATACATCTCTAATGTTTCACGTCCAAAAATAGTTGGCACCGCCACTGTGATCAGAATAGGTATTTGTTGGATGCGCTATTCACGGGTGATATCGTTTTACTGACTCGTCTCTGTGTTTTTCCCACCTGCGTGTGCAACAGTTGAGCCTGCAGAGGTGACTCTGTCGGGTTCGTCCACAGCTGTTGAGGGGCAGGACTTGACTCTGAACTGCTATGCCACCTCCAGTAATCCGCCGGTCCACATTCGCTGGTGGCTGGGCTACAAGGAGCTCAACACCAGTGTCGCAACTATGGAAGAGGTGGGACCACACATCACACAGTAAGGCGAAGTTGAGGTCTATTTGTCAAGGCCTGTATAGACGGGGGGGAGGGAGGGGGGCGTCCGTGAATACAGTGTGGCGTAATGGTGATTATGCCGTTCCGTTTAAAGAGAAAACTTTGTGAGCACAAATCAAAAGCATTGCTCTTCAAGTCAAGCGTGTCTTTAGGGCAGAGACAAAACCCATTGCAGATACATCCCAGTAAATTGAAATAACATTTTTCGAAATGAAGTGTGACCTCGTAAATCTTAATAGAAAGAAACGGTGTGACCATAAGCCGCGTGTCAGAATAGACTTGCCGCTGCTTTGCAAATGAATACGCAGCTGATGCTAAAAAGAGTATTCTGTTACTCATCTCCCCTTTTGTGTATTTTAATAAGATCAAAGTGAATAAAAGCTGACACGGAAGATGAGCGTTATTAAACAGGCTCTTTATTCATCTGGCAGCAGCATTTTCATTTGATCTTATACAAGGCACTCGGCGTGCTGTGTGTGAGCTTTAATGCATCTGAAACAGTGTGAGGTTAATGAAGACTGACGCTCCTGTCCGGTGCCTTTGTTAGTCTTTCTGACTGTGGCTTTTACAGTAATCACCACAATAATGGCTTTAATAACCAGATGTGCTGTTCAGGCATGACTACTATCAGGCAGGTGCTTTGCTCAATTTATAACGGTATGCAAAGCAGGACAGTCGGATGAATACGGTTATTTATCAGAGGCCACGCACAACATCCGTCATTACAGCAGCTAATTTGCCATCTGTATTCGTCAAGACAAACCAGAGAGGGTTGTTTTTCTCCCAGATTTGTTTTCTCTCTCTCGTAAGACTGAAGGCCGAAGACAAAAGATGTCCGTCCCTCAAATGAACTGCCACGTGTGCGTTGTGTCTGTAGGGAGACAATGGTGGGATGACAACCATGTCCAGCATGAACCACACGGTCTCCCGGGAGGAGGACGGGCTGAAAATCACCTGTGAGGCTTTCAACAAGGGCACACAATTCTCCAAGACCCAGTTCACCACACTTAATGTCTATTGTGAGTATAGAGCACCATTTCTATAAAAGGTCATTTTTGGTAGACAAAACCAATGTAAAAATTTGCAAAGGCGAAGGAGATTTTTTTTTTTTTTTTTTACATTTTCTTATCAAAAAATATTGTTTGGTTCATCATCATGGTTCGAGGGGAGTCAAATTAGTTTTATGTTTTTTATTAAAATGAATTCAACACAGGGCAAACAAAGGGGCCAATACACTGTACCTTTACACAATTATAATTATGTGACAGTAGCTACTTTCATGGGCTTAGTCAGATGTTTTCTTTACAGAATTTTAAATAAAACATATTCTGTATAACAGTAACTTTGAAAAGCTCTGCTTTGTCAGGGAACTTCTCTGAATACAGTATAAAACAAAAACGTGTATGGTAGCAAAAATGCGACAAGAAATGTGTTATCTAATGTGTTTCAAACTCTTGTTAATGATTTTATAACAGATCCCCCTCAAAAGGGTGTGGCGTGAAACTCCCCCTCAAGACGTCCCCCTCCGTTCGCGGGACACACGTCCGCATCATCTGGTTCTCGCCGAGCGGGACTGCCCATGAGACTCTCACCTGCCTCCCTCTCTTCCTCTGTTTCAACGCATGTGTGTCTGAAATAAACACAGGCATGCTGACAAACACTGTGTGTGTGTGTGTGTGTGTGTGTGTGTGGGTGTGTGTGTGTGTGTTGTACGGAGTGAATACACACTTCTTTATGAACATATTTCCATCCCCTTTTAGAATGGGAAGGTGGTGTCTAACGCTCTGAAGCAGACCTCCTTTGATCGGGGTGCCGCTCGAGAACTGCTCCTGGTCCTGACCGCAAGCGACAACATGGCCACCTACCGCTGCGATGCCACAAACGAGGCAATGCAGACTATCTCGGCCCACACTCAGCTCAAGGTTAACTGTGAGTTGGACGGGAGCTCTGACTCCCACACGCAACCAGATCTTTGCTCCACTCTTAACTCACTTAGCTGAGAGGAAGGCGCAATATCCGATACATGGACCCTTTCACAGATTGTTTCTACATCGTTTCGTACTCTTTGTCACGATATTGGCGGTCAGTTGAGATTCAGTTTTCTTCATGGTTTTTCCAGTTACAGCAGTAAGTATGAAGATTTCAACCGATCTTGAGGTGCTACGTCGGGGCCAGATGTTGACTCTGGAGTGCCAGGCAGGAAGTAGTAACCCTAAAGCCAACATATCCTGGAGCCTGGGCGGACTCAGGTTCGTCAAGGCATTTGGGGGGGCCATTGCAGACAAGGACACGCGTGCATGTGGACATTATATGGCTAATCTTGTGTCAAATTGTGTCCGATTGAGGTGAACTTGATCTAAATGCAATCCGTGTACTAGATTCCAGGGAGTGGAGCAGCCACCCAGGAGTGCCCAGTTCGGTGGCGTGTCGGTGCACAGTACTCTATCCCTGAATCTGAGCTCCCAGCATCACAACCACAGGGTCATCTGCCAGTCCTACAGTCCCGTGCTGGTGGAGGCGACTAACACATTCTACAAACTCAATGTGCTTTGTAAGCATACGGTGTAATTATTTGTGTTTCTTGCGTACTTGGTTTGTTTCCTTCTTTTGTCTTGGCGACTGACCAGCAGATGTGTTTTGCATGACGCTCAAGCATAATGATGATCTATGATGGTGCCGATGTAAGCTGCTTTACTGGTGTAATTTTGCACAGAAATGTCAGCTCATAGTGTGCGTGTGTGTGTGTACGTGTTGTTTTTTGTTTACCAAAAGCCTTTTGTTGCAATTTGTGGGTCTGCTGAGCGCTGTGGCAGTGTGTCCTAATTGTGCATTTGCTTTGCTGCATGGCCATGTTTGTGTTTGATGTCATTTCACAGGCAGCAGCCAGCCGCTGCTTCAAAGCTTGGTACTGTGTATGAGCATGAAGGAATGTCACAGTGCGTTTGTGCGGCGCTGCAGTCGGACAACAGTACTGTCACTCGTTGTTTTAATGCCTGTCGCTCTCACTCGCGCGTTGCCTCACGCCCCCGTTGTCTAACTATGGGAAGTTGGTTGGATCTGGAATTATTGCTGGGATGTCGACCATCTACTGGTTTGACTCTCATTAGTGTCTCTTTCGGCTTTCATGCTCAACATCTTTTGTGTGTCTTTGTATTCTCTTTCGCTGGTTCTTGTCATTCTGTGGGCCGGGGTTTGTATTGCCTCTGCGCGTGTATTTCTGAAGTATATCCAACGTGTCCCCGCTGGATTTGCTTGCTGTTTCTTTGTGTCAGACCCACCAGAGTTCAGCCCTGAGCAGCCAGTGCACATTCAGGTGCAGGAGGATGACATGGCAACCATCCCACTGCTGGTCTCAGCTAACCCAGAGAAGCTCTCCTGCAAGTGGCTGAATCCCAGGGGAAAGCTGGTCAAAGGTGATCCAACGCTGTGTGATGGCTTTATAAACCAGGTCCTAGTTGAGCTGAGCCAGCAAGTGAGCACTCAGCTCTGCCATTCAGGGTCTGAATAAAACATGGCAGGTTAGCCAGCATGGGACCCTGCCAAATGTGATTCTCATTATGGGTTTAATGTATGCAGCCTAAATGAGGTTTGCTGTCTCCCTGAATACAACACAACCGTTCTAAACCTGGTTTCTCCTCGAGGCCGGTGTCATCAGGGCCCAGCTGCACCCACGCTCCTTCTCCGTTCTCTCTGTTGGCTCCGCCATACATCCCCCCCCCCCCCCCCACACACACACATGAAATGACTGCATGTGGAAAGGTACCTATTACATTTTCACTGCTGTGGTACAGAGGGTGTCTATCATGCAGCCTAAGATTGGCTTGATGTGGGAATCCCGCTTGGCCAATCAATAATGCAGGATTATGTCACTTAGAGACCAGTGACTAGAGCACACTCAGCTGATGAGTGTGTAATGCATACTGATTCAGTAGTTTTCCACAATGGTGTGTGTGTGTGTGTGTGATAGTGTGTGTGTGAGTGTGTGTGTAAGCGTGTGTGTGTGTGTGTGTGTGTGTGTGTGTGTGTGTGTGTGCTTCCATGTTTTTCTGGAAAGCGGGGAACCTGCACTACTACCAGTCAGACAAAAACGGACTGGAGATCGAGAATGTGACGAGGAGAGATGCAGGAGTTTACAGGGTCAACTGTACCAATGATGAAGGATCCAACGAAATCTCCATAACGCTGGATGTTCAGTGTAAGTACCTTTTTACCTGCATTTTAAGACAAATAAGTTAATGCATTCAAACTTTTTTCTACAAGTGAAAATAGGGATGCACATGCCTGCGATTCCTTCACGTCTTAAGGATGAAATGGGAAGCAGCTGCAACTTGACTAAATTTTCCCCAACCTGATCATTTCTAGTTACTTGTATAAGCCACCTTAATTATTTACAATAATTCCTATGGATTTGTTAAAGTAAAACAAAGAAATAGAAAAAGAGATGAACATGAAAGGATGGCTCCAAAATAGAAACAGGACTGTTTGAAAAAAACATTATTTTACTACCATTTGATTCATGATTTTGATTTGTCTTTGATAGATCATCAATTGTGCTGTCTATCACAATTCAACCACATAATTTATCTGTGTTGAAAAGCCCTCAGCCTTCAAAAGGAACCAGCGTACTTCTTGTTGCAGACAATTGTCCATTTCGTGCATTGAATTTTTAAATTTGTTTGTTTCTGAAATGTTTTTTTTTAATGGTTCAAAGCTGCCAAATATCAGTATTTATCTGCATCCCCACACACACACGCTGATATACATCACCATTGACTTTCATTCCCTACCCAGCGCACATGCTACATTTATTAGGCCTCCATGCAAGGCCTTGCATCTCCACTGCTGCCCCAGGCCCAGCCTCAAGCTCCAGGCCCTCTGCCCCCATACTGATGATTTAATAATGGAAGTGTTGAAAATGTAGGTCTGCCTGCTTCACTAAAGCCCACGGTACGAGCCTAATGGATTCCGTCGTCCTGATCCGACTGGGCTTGACAGTTGTAGGTATTCATTATGTATGGAGGATTGTAGTAGCTTTTATGGGTGGCGGTGTAGCCCACTTAACAATGTCGGCCTGGGTTAGCGGGCCAAGATGGGTGGATCTCACCCAGGTGTTCCCACCAGTGTTCTTCAAGCGAGAACATACGTTCAGACTAAGTAAGCACTAATGGCGTAAATGTTGCAAGTACACATCACCCATGGGAAGTGCAAAAAGCTTTTGATTTAAGGGTGAATATTGACAAGAAGAGGAGCCAGGCAATCAGGAATGAGAGGGCTTAATGAAGAAAGGGCAACTGGTCAGTCTGTCATTGTCAAAATGGGAATGTGCTTTGAGTGGAGGGCCTTCTGGGTCAAATGACACATTCTCAGTTTTTTACAGATTGAGAGGTTAATGGCATTGTATGTGGAGCACAGAGGCCAATTAAGACAGGGTTATGAAGAAGTTCAAATACAAAAAAAGTGTACACTTAAATATGGCAATGCAGCATGCCTGTTTAATGGGTTGGCAAATGATTTGTCCCAAGCTGGCATGTAAACCTTTGGCCTTTGGCCTTTTTCCTACTTTCAGATGCTCCCAGTGTGGAGGCAGAGAAAGACCCTGTAGTAGTGAACCTGGGGGAAACAGCCGACCTGATATGTGTGGCAGACGCCAACCCCATCGTATCTGACATGTTCTCTTGGGAATGGCTGGTGAGAGGTCGGACCCATGTACCAAGAAACACCGTCATTCCCTGAATAAGCTTTTATTTTTCCGGCTGGCCTTCCATTATTCTATCCGTTCCTACCGTTTATCACTGGCCTTTCTAAACGCAGAGATGCACCATATTTCACTGGCTCTAACTATCCTTCCACCCCACCTCTCCCTGCTCCACACACAGCCCAAATCCAGAAAAATAGCTTTCATTACCGCTGCATGACTAAAGGGCACATTCGTCAATGTGGCGTGGTCTCTGTATCTACTGATGCCCTCTCCGGTCTAACCGCCCCTCCCACCCCCTCCGGCAGTGGTCTCTTTCCCGCTTTCTACCTGCACAGCCCCTCCCTTTGCTTCCCCCTGAAGCTCTCCAACCCCTGGCGCAGTCGTTGTCTGTCCTCTGTCCCCCGGCGCTCTTACCATCCTCACCTCCAGCGCTGATGGTTCCTGCTCAACCGTCTGCTCCCGCACTGTTTACCGTACGCGAGCTCTCAGCCGGGAAGAGTGGAGCGTGTTTTGACGGAGAACTGCTGTCTGCTATTTATCCCTCCCTCATTTTGTCTTCCACAGGGAGAAGAGGAGGTGGAGATGGGAGAGGAGAACCAGCATGATGAATCTGGCCTTCTGACCATCCATAATGTTACTCGGGCTCATGCTGGTCTTTACCAGTGCACAGCCAATAATGACATAGCATCCCCTGCCACTGTTAACATCCAGCTGGTGGTGCAATGTTAGTTTGTGGTATTTATTGTCATTATTAGAAGGGAACAAAAATACATTTAGAGTAAGATGCACGTGATTTTGTTACATTTACTTCTGTTTCCGCATGAATAACCTCAATCACATCTCGTAGTCAAACCAGAGGTACTGAAAGGAGCCCAGTGGACCAAGGTGGCAAGTAGAGGGGACGGAACTTCTACAGCTGAGATGGTGTGTCGGGCAGAAGGGATTCCTCGCGTCGACTTCTCTTGGGAAAAAAACGGTCTACGCATGGACTTTGCAAACCCCAGGTCAAAGAATATGCATTATGTACTTTCATATGATTTCTTTCACTATAGAGCTCAGAGTGTTCTAAAGCTCCAAATTGATTCCGCATTATTGGGCTTCCTGTTCCTGTACCTGAAGTCGATGGTTTTTTTTTAGCAGGTTTCTGGTTAAATGCGTGAAAAGGTCTGTGTTTGGCACAAGCTGAAGAACATCAATTCTTGTGAATTTTGAGGCTTCTATATGTCACCAAAAATGTGGTTGTGATCAACTGGCTAATAGGCTGAGCTAGACTGTCATATATGCTCTGTCTTAACAACTTTGTTCCAATGTCAACTGTGGTCTAACATCAGCTTTTTACTCCTGCAGATTGTATTCAGGTATTTTACATAAAACGTGTAAAACACATAAACTTGTGTTTGCTGCAGAGCTTTTCTATAATTATCCAAATCCATTGAGAACTCATCTTTCTTTTTTGAGGGAACCAGCGAGATACTTCCCTGGTTGGCCTAAAAAAAACACATCCCTGCAGCACTCGTATTAACTCCGGTGCCACTGTCAGCATTTGGTTTGCATTATGATGAATCCTCACGATTCTATTATGCTTTTTACTAATGTTATCTTATTTTTTCTTTTGCCATTTCTTGCTCATTCACCACTGAATCAGATGCAGTGCATTTTATTCCTCGCTTTTTGCTATGCAAATACCTGTTTAATGCTTCTTTTGATGTGTGAAATTGGGAGACTTAGTGCAATCCGCAGGACATCACCATCCCTGCTGTCTAGCTGCTCAGGATTTATCTCTTACTTGCTATGTGTGTGTTTGTGTGCGGGCTGCAGGTATGAGGAGCGGGCCGTAAAGGATGGCTCCTTTCACACCAGCACAGTTCGAGTTGTGAATGTGAGTGCATCTCTGGACTACACTATCTTCAGATGCACGGCTCGCAACTCACTTGGGGAAGACACACTAGACATCAAGCTCGTCAGCAAAAGTACTTCATTTTTTGTACATTTGTAGGTTCTGTGTGTAAGGGAGTGTGTCTCTGGGTGACTGAGGTTGTCTCAGTGTTGTAAAAAATGCATATATTGGATTAATTGAAAAGGTATTTCAAAGATTTATGAAGCTTCAAATGATGAATAATTGTATCATTTCCGTTTGAGTAACACGTGACACTAAATTTAGGAAAAATTGTTTTTTGTAATTTTTTAAAATTCCCATTGAATGACCTACTGTAGTAAGTATAATGTTGACTTGTAATACCAAGTCACTACAAAGCTTCATCAGCGTTTAGCCACTTGTTGTTAAGGAGATCTAGCCTGTAAATAGAACATATGGTTAAAGGAATAATGTGTAGCATTTAGTGGGTCACATGTATATTACAAGGATTGGGGTATTATTAATAAGCTGGTTTGCTTTTGTTTATAATCCTGTGAAATTAGTAATTACTATGTTTTCGTTGCCAAACAATGAGCATAATGAGCCATTTTTTTTACAAACCACCATGTTTCTACAGTAGCCCTGAATTGACATATAAAACACTGGATAGTGTAGATGGGGATGTACATGTATATGTAGTTTTGCGGCTAAATCTGCATTATTGTATATAAAAAAAGAGATGCCTTTCTGCTTCTTAGTGGTCAAGAAATCCCCTGATGCATTTTTAAAAGAACGGCAAATGATCAGTCAGTAGTTAGAGCACAAAGCATGTATTATGCATATCACGTACTTGGCAGCGGAGCACAAAATATTCCTTTGGTTCTAATTTGGAAGCATCTCAAAATAATTGCGTCTGTGCTGCTTTGTCCGAGGTTTATCAGCCTTTTCCAGCAACATTACAGTAGTTTGAAAAAAGGCAGAATTCAGTAAACTGGAGAGAGCCGTTGCTCCTCCTTTCAGTTTCCTTATCATTTCTCCTATAGCGGTACTCAACTCCTCAGATAAGGCTGCAGTGATAGGCTTCTCTCTCCCGGCGTCCTAAGCATTGTACAGCTTCAAGGTACTAGTGCATCCTTGCACCACCGCCATTATCAACACAGCGAAGGCCCACAGCTATCATTGGACACATTTAATGTTTAGTATAAAGACCGTAAAATACAGGCTAATATTGGCCCTGTTTTTCCCCAGTCACTTTGTTAGTGCCGTGAATATTCATAATTAATCTGACGCAGTTCTAATAGATTTGATATGCCTCCTTATCGTGCAAGAGCTCGAGAGGAAGAGAGAAGCGTGCTTTTTGGATTTGAAGGGAACAAAATCCGAATTCGGCTGACCTCTTTGCCCAGGAATCATACGAGCAGAGCTGATAGTGGGAATTATTTACTCAGTAAACTGGGCAGCGACCTGGAGCCACAGACGTGCGGAGCATTCCCTTCTTATGGTTGCTGCTCAACTATCTCTCCCCCTTCTTGCCTTTTGATTATCGCTCCCTCTGCCCTCAAAACTACCCTCCTTTCTATGCCCCAAATGGAAAATAATCCAGTTTTCCTTTACTGCCCTCACTTAGGCAGAGCCTGACCGAAGGCCTGGTTAGCCTGCTTTGATCTGTATTCACAATATTGATAATAATCAAGAGGCCTCATCCTTATTGCATGGCTTTGCTCTAATAAGTTGGACAAGGTAGCCATTTTTTAGGCGGCTCAGCCACCAACCATGTTTCCCGAAAAAGCAGATGACGATTAGCGCACACAAATATATTGCTGTGCATCTAAAAATCTGCTCTTTGGAATAAACTGTGATAAAGAAGAGATATACTTTAAAAAAAAAATGGGGATCATCCTTCTTTGACTCCTTCTGATAGACATATATGTAATAATATGTTTTTACAAAAAAGAAATACAACCAAATATCTTAATTATCTTTCTTCCTCTTCTACTTAAGTCAAGAAGAACATCATCCCTGCACTTTCTTCTAATAATATCAATATGTCTATTTGTAACTGCTCTAAAGAGGCCGTACGAGGGGCACGTTCCTATCGGCCAGCAGGGCCTCAGGTGTTATTTTAGGGTCTGCAGAAGATCGAAAGCATGTTTTCTTTTTTACACATTCCTCTTTTCCTTTCTCTCTCAGATCACCCAGATCCTCCCTCGATGTTCCGCCAACTTGCCGTCTCCCACGACTCAGTCACTCTGGAGTGGATCAGTGGTTTCGATGGTGGTCTGTTTCAAGGATTTCGTATAAGGTGAGATGTCCAGGAAGGATTTAAATGGGCTTGTATTTACATAGCAGCCCTCTCAAAGTCCTTAACGCTGTATGCCAACATTTATCCCATTAAACACATTTGCACGTCGATGGCAGAGGTTGCAATACGTGTTGACTCTTCATTATGGTTTCCTCAGGGTGAAGGTGTGAGGATGACATTCTTCCGTGATATTACAATTGTACTCAACAGTGCCCTTTGGTTGACAGATACCGTTGGGATAAGTCAGACAGCTTCCTGTACATGGACGTCTTTCCTCCAGGAGCAACATTTTTCACGGTCACCGGGCTGCAGCCCATCACCACCTACAACTTCTCAGTCAATGCCCACAATGCAATGGGAGAGAGTGGCTTTGCTGACAACAATGCAGTACTGACCATCACCACCAAGGGTCAGTTGAGAGTAACCCCAGCTTGACACCAAAAGGGCTGTGCTGTGCAACCATCTGATCATCTATAAGTCATGAGAATGAGTGTATTATGCAGAAATGTGGAATATGAGCTTTTGTTATTGCCTGTCTTTCTATGCAGAGAGGCCAGATATCAAAGAAGTCCCAACTGTTGCTGTCTCAGAGAGTAAGTGCTTTATCACAACTTGCTGCAAAAGCTCTCACAGGCAGTTGGAAATTGCTGTTTGCACAGCGGCTAGCTTCATTTGGCTAAATCATGTTAATGTATGCGCCTCCTAGGCTGGTAATGTTTGCTCTAGGAGAGCAGTTGTCATGGCACCCACCCATGCGTTTTCCCTTCTGATAGTCTTTAATCAATAAAGACACGGTTGGGCCTGTCTCTGACATATTTCTTGTCTTTTAACTTTCATTGTTAGGCATTGAGACAATGTTTCTAATATTTTCTCAAACTAGATCCAGATAGACTGCCAGCCTATTTAACAGCAGTTGGAGTCCTGCTGTTTTTTAATTCACTGGGTATCTTCTTTGGAGTGAGGTGGAAAAAAAAGCAGGGCCAGACAGGTAACCACAATCTTTTTTTTTTAATCTACCGGTGTGACCGTTTTTTCTCCATAACTCTCTGGCATTATAATTGTCCCCATTCCTCAACAGAACCCTAAAGAGATTACTCCAGTACCATGCCGCAATTGTCAGCGCAGCCTCTCACTCTCTTCTCATCTCAACTTCTTTTTATCCGTCTATCCTGTCTCCTCTCCTTCTGCTTTTTGTCTGAGGTTCTACCTGCTGCCACGCTCTGTCATTTCTGTGTTTTGTCCACATCTTTCATCCCATTGGCCTGCGTTATGTCCTCATCTCTCCTTCTGTCTCTTTATATTTGTTCTTCGGTCCAACTGTCAGGTTCTCCCTCTAATTTCTTTGCTTTTTCGTTCCTTACCGCCCTCTGTTTTTTACATGTACAGCGTAGTTGTCTTTCACTCTCTAAATCTCTAACTTTTTTTACTCCGATCATTTTCAGTAACTAAGCCCCCTCCCTCCTGTTTCTGTCCCCCCTGCAGGGGCGATAGGAGGCAGTACGCCGGATGGAAAGAAGAGTGAACAGGGGGGGTGAGTTAAGGCCCTTCAGTAGAAGTAATAAAAAAGACCCACATCCAATCCACTTTAAGAAGTCAAAGACTATTGGCTGAAGCGGCTATTAAAAAACTGCCAGGCATGCAAAAGCAGAAGCCTCTGTTAATATCTGCTCGTATTAGTGTCATCAAACTCACACCACAATCCTTCAATGAACCTGCACATGAGCCACATGAAAAAAAATTATTGTTAACAATTTAATGAATGCAGTAAACAAAATGCTGTGTGCTGAGTGTTTTCTCCGTCGTGTTTTCAGCATCTCTGGTCGTTCACATTGTGGATCAGGAAATGAGGAATAAATCAGGAAAGTTAACAAGCAATGACACAATCCGATCGTTCCTCGCAGGTCCGCTCAGTCGACCGACAGCAACTCCAACAAGTATGAGAGCAGGGAAAAGATCAACGCCGCAGCCCAGCGCACCCTCCTCATCGACTCTGGGTCCGAAACAGACAGCCATGTCTACGAGAGCTATGCAGCGGTAAGAGCGGGAAAGATGAGGAAGAAAGGAAAGAGAGGGATGAGACAAAGAGAAAAGAGCTGCCGAGAGACACAGAAGGGCTGAGTAAACAGACGGGGGGGGGGGGGGAAGAGGTGAGACGGTGGGTGATGGGATCTGACAGAGAAGGAAGTGGAGAATTCAGCCATAACAGGGAAAATGGATGAACTAATGGACCCTTTAGCTGTGCATGGAGATGGAACACAGATCAATACCTCACAATTAGCATTCAAAATGCATATTGATCCCCCTGAGAAATGATCATTTTGTACATTAAAAAAGCCAACGAGGATCTGAACCTTGAAGAAAATTGTTGAGCGTAGTAGAAGGAAACAGATATCTGCTGTCTGGATGGGGTGTAATGAAACCTCAAATCCCCACAGAGGATGCTTTGCCTTTCCCCTCATTTGACACAGTAAACCACTAAGCTTTGAAATTACCAAAGAAACAAATTCAACATCTCCCTCTTTTGATATCTAGCCTTGAATGCAGAAAGTTTTGACGTATTGGACCTGCAGCCTGATATAAGGTTTTTATCACAGTGTGAAATACAAAAGAAAATATGGTTTAATCTTCAGGCTGATGATAAAACAATGCAGAAGAACGGGCCTCCGAGAATTCCCTTTAACCCCCTCTGCAGTGATGCAACACATGTGGCTTTGTCATTTAGCTAAAGTTACATAAGCCAAGGCTAATATTATACATATCTCATCTGTCTTTCTAATTGCAGGAAATTTCCCATCGTTATTACCCCACTGGTGACTACAATCCGCCTCTGAGTCCACTACCTGAGGAAATGCGTAGGCTCGGTGAGACACAAACATCCCTCAGAGTAAACAAAGCACCTCGTTTTCAACATATGAAACAGTCCCATTTCAGTTTGTTGTTATTCTTTCAACTTGGCAGTTTTTTTTCAGATTTATCTCATTGTTAACTACTTGCAATTATTCATATGTTGCCTGTGTGTTTCCTTATAACCTTCAAGGGGTCACCCAACTCCCTGTGGATTCTCAAAGCCATCTGTATGAAGACGTGAGAGACGGGGATCTGTACCAGGACATCCTGTCTTCCCCTCTTCCTTCCCCTTCATACTCGTTTGACCACCGATTGCATCAGGAAAGGAATATGTGGAGACTACCAGGCTACCCTCAGGTCTGCAAAAAACAAACCCACCAACCCACGATGAGCTCCTGTTTGATATATCATTTACATTTGAATGCATCACAAAGGTAATTTTTCCTGAGATGCAATCTGTCACCCAGCAGGCAGCTGAGAGAGTCGGGGACGTCCGGCAGCCGAGGAGAGAGTCGGATCTTCCCTTTGAACTGCGAGGCGAATTAGTCTAAAATGAGAAGGTCAGAGCAGACAAATACACTATGACAGAGTTTCTGGTTGAACAGTACTCGTCACTATAGCAGATATTTAAAACAAAATTCTTTGAATTGTATTGCACAAGTCACATTCAATTTACCTCTCATGAAAATGTCATATAATATATTTCTCTCTCTGATTTTATGTCTCTATTGTTTATATTCCTCAGCATGGAAAGCCGAAGAAGCCAAACAGAAGAAAATTACAATATAAAGATTATATGTATACATTTAAGTCATGTCTTAAATATCGACATACATCTCCCTCTGTTGTCTTGGACCTCGCATTGTTTTTTTCAACTTCACCCTTGTTCTAGTTTTTTTTTGTTGTCCTGCAGGTGGAAATTAATTTAGAGACAAAAATTGAACTGACAAAGATGTTTTTCGCCTGGAGGACGACAGCCACTCACTGTGGCACTGGGGCAGAAGCAGCACACGCTCACATTGTCACCCAAACACACAGCATCGTGTGCGCTGTTAACATTCTCCAGATTGTGCCCCCCCCGACAGAAAGAGTTTCAAAGTTAGTCCCTGGGAATCCTTGCAATGGGATTGTACTGAGTAGTATTTAGCATGGTCATGTCTTCAGGATGTAAAGCCATATCTGGGGCCAGACTGTAATCCTATTTTCTCTTGGATTGAAGCTCAGCTCACAGTATTTGTGAGAGAGAGAGAGAGAGAGAGAGAGAGAGAGAGAGAGAGAGAGAGAGAGAGAGAGACTAAGCTGCTGCTACAAAGCAATTCTTCTCCTCATTTGATTTTCCATAGTATAGTGTCACATTCCGGCCTGCAGTTTCCAATAATTACAATCTGTATTCAGAGAAAACTTTCCCAAACTAAAGTTGCTTTATACTAATTATAAAATCTAGGCAACACGACCCTTTGGAACAACTTTCCTTGTGATTAATCTAATCGTAATCAAGATATTTCCCAACTCAAGATATTTTTTTCTCTGGACTAAAGTCAGAACACAAGAAAAGATGGATGGTATTTCCTTTATTACAATAACAAGGTCTGAGTTCTCTGTGCCTTTGTGTAACTTTGTCTTCTAATGTTCACTGTGCGTAGATCATAAACCTCTTCAAACTTTGCATTGGCTTCCCTGTTCTCGCTGTCTTGTGAATTACACAAATAGCGACTGGGCTTGCATGCGTACACACGGGCGTTATTTATACATCAGAGTTCTGCTTCCAGCTTCTGCTTTTCCCTGGAGCACGATTCGTCACATCAGTCTCAAAAAAGGAAGTCAGCGAAGGCAGCACATATAGCTCAGTTAGACACACACATGTATAACAGAGGGGTATAATATGAAATTATTGTTCCCCAATAGAAATGTCCCATTTTTGATGAAGACGGATGTGGTCTGGCTCAGGACAAATGATTGTACGTGTTGTTACTGTACAACACAAAATAAATATTTACTCTGAGAGGTTACATTACGACCTATAATATTCCGCCTCGCCAATGGCCTGACTGCCTTGAGATAAATTCCAATGTTTCACAAAGCCGTGTTCAATTAGGCTGGCGATTCTCCATCAGGAGCTGTCAAGGTATGTTCGTCTCGTTACTGAATAATTGTTTTAGTTCCTGTCAAGATTGACTGCTGTGTTCGTACCGCAGCATGTTCCTGATACATCATTACAGCTCAGGCAAGAAGAGTAATCTACTAAACTGCAGGCTTGGCAGCTCAATCCTGTACGTCAACTTTTGTTTTCCCTCACTTGCCTCGTGAATGTTTTGATATGATGCGTTGGGGATCTCGAGGGAGCTTGATCATTCAGGCTACGGGAGTGCACAATTAAGTAAAAAGAAAAAAACAAATAAGAATCTTTAATTACCTCAGCTCTCAACAGTGTTTTTATATCCTTTTTACCCCACTGCTTTTGTTTTTTTTGGAAAACAAAAAAGAAATGGAACAATACTCCTCTATCACCTTTAACGGGTTGTGCTGCCAGTGGGGAGCTGACTAAAATGTAACTCCCATTTCCGCAAACCGTGTCTTTTCCCTCATTATTTGGATTCTGATCATATGAAATAAAAAAAGAAAAGAAAAATGCAACCACAGGTTTTACAAATTAGAAAACAATTTCACCAGCAGTTATTTTGACTGACGTTGTGGCTGTGATCTCCTGTTGTCTGTAATTTACCCTCCAATGTGGAAGAAAGAATACAACTAAATAAATATAACAACAATCCATGAAAGATAACTAGGCGAGAAAACAATTCATGATGAATTCATTGTTAATTTTGATAAGGGCAGATCTGAGAGCACATTGAAACTGAAAGAGCATTTTAAATTAAAGATAAGAAAAAATCTTGAGTTATGGATTTGTATTATTAATAAAACAATGCACACGTACAGTCCACATTATTCCACACTGCATTATTAAGTAAAATTAAAATCTTTCTTTTCTGGTCACATTCAAACCTGACTATATAATCTGCTTGTTCATGTGTAAGTACATTTAAATTGTGCCTCTCATCCATCATCTCACTCATTGAGTTGCGCATTCACTCCCACTCCAACACAAGTATATAAAGATGACAAAAAGAGAAAATTAAGTTATTAAAAACAAATAGAAATCAGACATAATGTACAAATACATTTTACATTGCATTCATAAATCACTGTCTGAAATGTGCTTTCAAATGATAATCTACACATTAATGTTACCTTGTCAACCTTTATCCATATATATAAATCAATATTGTCTGATGATTTGTAATCAATAAAAAAGCCCAGCTAGAATGATTGGATGGAAAAAATAGAGAAATGATGATGAAGTAAGTGTTGACAGATTAATGTTCTAATGATATTTGTGCACAAGCAAATGGGATTGGTTACCCATCACTTGTCAGGTTGCTGCTAATAATGTGATTGACTGAAAGCATACAATTAGCAGAGTATTAGCCAATCAGAGGCAGAGTAGAGCCGATCATTTCCTCGTCATCCTTGGAGAAGTTAATTTGACTCTGTTTTCTCTCAGCTAGCTCTGTTAGCACTGTTTCCATTGTTTGCGTTGTTAGCGCCGTTAGCCGCCGGCTCAGCTATCGCCATGTTAAGAGCCCTGTGGAGGCAACCACCCAATCATGTGCTATGCTCTTAATTTGGAATTTACCACCTTTTAAAGATTGTTTTTCAAATGGAGGTAACAATGTATTTATTGAAATGGCATGTTATTGTAAGCTGATCCACAGCACTCTGAACAATGACTGCCCTCTGCTTGTGTGGATGAATTGAAGGCTTTGTCTGCTGTAACAGCGAGATTCATCCTCTTCAGTTGAGTAATGCTGTTGTGTCAAAACACACACACACACACACACACACACACACACACACACACACCAATCGTTGAAGACTGTCGCTGAAAAACCTGCCATTCACGTGAAACACATGGAGTGATGGATGTATTTGTGGCAATATGTGAGGTAATATTTGAATTAAATGTTATATAATAATAACTAAATGTATATTTTTTTAAGAAAGACAATTAGGTATTTAAACTAAAGAATATACAGCCTTACTTTATTTTGTTTATCAACAGTTTCTCATTACAACAAGGTCCCAACAAGGAAGCCGTAGAGAAGTTTTACAGGTTGTAGAAAGAGACCATCAAAGACACACAATAAAAAACAGCGGAAATAAAGTAGAAGAAGAAGCCGCTGTACTCAGACTGTGGGGGAGGGGGAAATACTGCAAGCCACAGAACGAGGCCACGGCACGACAAAAAGTGGGTGAGCGAGAGACGGAAAGCCTGGAACAGAGTTTGCGACAGTTGAGTGGGGAAGTAGTGATGACAAGCACATGGGTGTGGTGGGTGAGCAGCCTTTCACAAGTGACATACAGAGGAAAGCACCGTCATAATGAGGATGTGGATGAATCTCTGGACTCGTGCACCTCACAGGATGGACACCACGGTAAGCATGATGGCCTGGATGCACGATGAAGTATAAGATGGCGGAGGGGTGTTTTTAGGGAAGCATATACTACAGAGAGATTGATGGAGGGTGACAGACAAACGGATGAGCGGACAGGCGGAGAGTGAGTTGGAGTGCCAGATGTGACAAACAGGCGGGCAGGTCAGGAGGAGGGACGGACGCCTGCAAAGCCCAGAGGGAAACAGGCCTCGTTTTTGACATATGCTCTAGTGAAATTAGGAGTGGCATGACCTGCTAATCTGAGCTGTCGCAGCTCGTGACAGCCACAGACGTTCACCTGTCACGCTGTTCCATGCCCCGAGGATGTGATGCCACTGAGATAGGTCAAAGATCGAGATTCTTTTTCTCCTGTGGGTGGATTCCAGCTGAGCTACTGGCCCAGACTTTCATCCGCCGCGCCATCCGCCTCTGCTGCGTACCTGCTTGGCAGCTGTTGTTTTTTGTATTGCTATAAAACTTGCAATGTTGGACAGTTTTTTGCGTACCGGTGTCTGCGTGTAGTGTTTTGTTTCAAGGTAGGGGCAACATGTTGTGAGGGGGAGGAGAGAGTGTGTCTCACCAGTAGGCCTACAGGATTTCCATCACGGTAAAAAGAGCGGTTTTGACACGTCCTTCAGTCCCACTTTTTTAATTGGTGACAGTAGCAAACTTTTTTTATTGAAGCTGGACGAATAGTTCAATGTAGACGTGCGTGGGAGGATTGCATATGCAATGTGCAGCTTCTTTTTGACAAATGAGTTTAAAAATGAATAAATAAATAAGGGTTTATGATATGTGTGTCTAACATTCAAAGTAGTAATGTTTTTTGGTCGTGCTGCGTGAGGAGGGTGGGAGAAGGTGTCTGTCTGCTTTATGAGGAAGGAGAGGCGGCCACGTGGAACCAAACCTCAATGATCGCAACTTCCTTCCTAGATTTGCACTGCACAAAACGTGAATGCTCCTTTGCTTCAAACCTTTTGATGAACCATTTAGCGTATGTTCACTTTGTAATAATTCTATGGTTAAACAAGTGTTAAGATTATAACGAGATGTACCTAAACATTGTCTTTCTTTGTGCTGAAGAGCACATGTTTCATCTGCATGCTGTGTATCTGAAATTCAACTTATATCAGTTGAGATACATCTTTGTTTTTACTCAACTCACCTTATTCTTTTTGTTGTCTTTCAGATTTATTCGACCCAGTTGGCCTTCTTCCTGTTTTTCATGTTTAATGGTGAGTGTATTGAGTTTATAGCGAGTCTATTTAACTGAAATTCCAGTGAGGGATCAAAAGGTTAAATTCAAACCAAATACAGGTTTTCATCCACACGTTATTATTGACAAATGAAAGATTTGAGTGAGACCTCCTACTGCAGACCTTTAAGTTCAAGTTCCACGCACACGGGTTCGTCAAAGTAGTCGGAATCACAGCGTTGGTCTCAGAAGGTTTTGTAGAGATCCAGCATTAATTAAAAGGTGCTGAGAGAGTAAACGGACAACGGCCTCTCTGTTCCGCAGTCTCACACAACAATCCAGCTCTGTAGCCAGAGGTTTCGTAAGAGCCACTTCATTGTGTGTGTGTGTGTGTGTGTGTGTGTTCCTGCTCACGGGACTTTAGCTGTGACATCATCTCTGTCCTTTTGCGTGGCCTCTCGCCCAAACATGGTCAGACACTTGCAGGTCCGAATGCCTCTCAGCATTGTGCAAGCAAATCAAAGGGGAAAACAATACTGCTCTTTGTTCTTGCTGTAAAGTTTGCTTTATCAAGGCCTCACTGAGAGGCTTCATCACAGACTTTTCTGTGATCAAAATGTGTCTTATACCCTCACAGTGACAAGGGCTCAAATTCCTACAACAGCCAATCAAATGCCGACCGTCAGCAACAACATGACAGCAACAACGCTCGCCACTCCGGCTCTTACAGGTGAGGCACTCGTGGCGATCTACTTTTGTAAAATCTTCGGTCTTGATCTCCTTTTGTGGTATTAGTTTCACGTGACTCGGTCGCTTTCTTGATGTTACAGGAGGAGACGTGGGAAGCAGAGTCACCAGAGATGCAAACTCCTCTTTGCCATCTGTCAATAACCACACAACCCCGTCAGAAAGGATGACGACAAAGTTTACACGCGCTCCAGGTAACAATGTGCACCGACTCCCTCACGTTTGAACTCCCAATCATTTGTTTGGGCTATTGAGGTTTTAGCTTCTTGTCAAAAGAAAAGGCTTTCATTGAGATTCATGCCTTTAAAACGTTATGAGGTACTTCAAATATGTTAAACTGTAAAGAGAAGTTTTTTCCCCGGCGGGGGAAAGAGGGAGTACCAGATTGAGGGAACCAGAGCACACTAAAGTGCATCGTTTCCTAAGAGAGTCATTACACTGAAATATTTAAAAGTACATTTAAAAAGTGAGTTTAACGAAGAAATGCACCTGAATTGACTTATACATGGACACATATGGCAAAAATAAGAAAGAAAATCAAATTTGGTAACTTGTTTAAAATTATGCTTTTGCATTATAAACCTGTATATTAAATTATTTATATTAAATACACAGCAACTAAAAAAGGAGATTTTAATGTTTGTGTTCTTGATTTCTATGTTTTTCAGCATCTCCGGTGACATCCTCCCCATCCATAAGTGTGAAACCCACTAAAAACGGAGCCCGCAAAGAAGAGGCCTGGGGTACCTCAACATTTTACTACTCCATAGTTACCTTGAATGCCACAGGCATTGCGTCTGTATTGTTATCTCATGGCACACTGGCAGTATCATAATTCCCTGTCTTCCAAACAAAGCCCGCGGTGGAGTGTAAAAACACAGCGCCTCACTTCCTGTCTCGCCAGCAGATTAATGCCTGATTGTACCATATGCAGGAAGAGATACGATACGCGCGTGCCCGTGCTGTGCCGGCTTACCTTAGGTAGCGTTTTATTATACCATCAACAGCCACGTCAGCGGGGCCACTAGATCTGGCATGCTATCTCAGACTGTTGCTCCCTGGTGATTGTCCCTCTCTTTTATTCTTGGAGAAAAAAGTTATTAAATTATTTCAATTCCGATTTTACTTCTTATAGATCCGAAGTGGGATGAAGATTTCATCTACGGTGAGAAGCTACATATGACACGAAGTTATTTTTTATATTCATGTCTTTGGTGTCTTAAGTGCTTGACTCATGTTTTACGTGCACAGATTATGAGTCCCTGCGCTACGCTGGACTGTCCATTGCAGCGGTGCTTTTCATTGTGGGCATCATGGTCATTGGCTGTAAGTGGGACTCCAAAAACACATTTTTGTGAAGCACTTTGATTACTGTATATTCAACAATCCTTCTCACTTGGATCATCTCTAACTAGGTGGCAGGGCCTGTCGGCTGTGTAGACGTCACAAAAGGTCACCAAAGTGAGTACTGGCAGCTTTTTTATTTAATTCAGTCTAGTGGATGTTCAAATTTTATTTTTTCAGTGTTTGAGGGTTGCATCATTAGCACACGTGCTGAATAGTTTAAAACAATGCAAGCTGACGTGTGAATGAAGGGTAGCAGTGCTTATGTCGGGCTCTTTGTCAGGAGAACTGCAGTTGAACGATTGAAGTCATTTATATCACAGTCTGCTGGATGATGTATGGCTAAGAATTATTATTCATTTCAGACGCATAATAGCTCAACAGAATGTTGGCTAAAATGTCTGGTATGATCAATAGATCAAAAATATGATATTATTGTTGTCTGAAGCCACATCTTTAATTGTCCTTAATGTGGTGTGTTTGCTGTGATACATGAAATGGATTTCTCAACCACTGTTTGATTCCTTTAATGGTTTTGTGTGTTTATTTTCCAGATCATATTGAGCTTTTTGATGAGAAAAATCTCACAGTGTGCACATTTTGACGCAGAGCTGTGAGAAGTCAACCAGGAGTTCATCCAGAAAAAAAACTAACCCAGCACCATGGTTGAAAAAGTAAAATGACTGACTATATGTTGCTTGGTAACAAGGTCAAAGAAAAACACTAAACATAGAAAAAATTGTTCATGCTGACGAGTGAGAAAAAGTTGAACCACCCACTTAATCTTTATGTAACATCATTTCTATACTTAGTGAAACTCCCTGAAAAGGGATTATTTGTATTTGCAAATAATAAGGAGATTATTCCCATTTAATAACACTTTCAAACCACGAGGCAGCCTTGTTTCTAATCACCTTTTTTATTGTATAACTGAGCAGCCGTAGGCAGTGGCTCACAGCCAGGATTCTATTAAACACTTCCCTCTCCTGATAGATAGTAGACGCTCTTTACACTTTCATCTCAACAAAAACGTGATGCTTGCAAGTCAGTAGCGTTATTATTATGGTTATCATTGCATAAATGGCATCAAATGATCTGGACAATAAACGGGGAAAAAACTTTGTATGACTGATTTATTTTCAAAAGAACACAGAGTTCAGCATATCTATATAATGTACAATAGTACTAACTCTTCTAATTGCTCTCAAGACAAAATCAACTAGAGAGAAGATAAAAACGGAATTGATACATGATTTGACATTACTACAAATAGTTTATTGCGAGCTGGTTGGTTATGTATTATATACTTTGTATACAAAGATAGTATGAAAAACGTACATTCAACATTAAGTTCAAATTCAAACTGTTTTTGCTCCAACAAGACACAAATATTTGACACAGAAAAGCTTTCAACTTTTAACTAATTCCCACCACAAATTGTTTTACGTAGAAATTTATAAATGAAAAGTGGAGAGAAGAAATCACCCTGTAACAACAAGAGTACAAAAAAGACCACTTGGTCAAATATATTTCTACGTTGAGAGACACGATACAAATATCAGTAAATCTGCAAATACATACAATATATTAAAAGCTGGAATGACTGAATAAGGTCTGACAATGTATTTCTTCAGAGGTTCTGAAGGCTTTGTGCGGTGTGGCTCCAGAAAACACAATTAGACAATTACTAGACAAGGAAACATCTTGGTAAAATAAAAAATAAAAAAGTGAAATCTCTCAACCGCCGCAAACTGCATTATGTTGGTTTTACAGTCGCGGTACTGACTGACCGAAAGATAGTACTCTTAACCGATGGTGGGGGTAACCCGGGTAACCCAGCTCTGCTCTGAGCCTGGACACACATTAAGGGGAAATAGTTATAATTTGCTTTTTGGACTGTATGACGTGACTTATATGACTACTTTGAGCTGATTGGTTGCATTTTTATGCATTTCTAATAAAATGTGTTTTAAAACAACCTTACTGCCCATTTATGTCCAGGCAGAGGGTGTAATTCATTCAAACACCCACAAGCGGTAGTCATCGCAGACTGTACCCTACTGAGTGCGCCTTCTTTAAGTGTTTGGTTGCATTTTCTGAATATGTTGCAGTTTTTCTAAATGCTAATGACATATTTCTTTGTTTACTTGAGTTTTGTCAAACGTTTTCTGAAGCTGGAGTACATAAAGCCTTTATGGACACTGCATGCACGGACAAAAAAAAACCCAACATAACCTCAATGCAAAGAAATAAAAGTTTAACATCTACATCTGTTACACTAACAGAAGTAGCGTTAATGAAAGAAATAATTGAGTAGATTTGGTGACTCTCAGGAAGCAGGCTGGACCAAACATTGCATTTCTCTGTATTGTTTTTGCTTTCTCAATTAAAAAAAGAAGAGGCCTTGAAAGAAAATGAAAAACCAAATGCGATTTGTTTTTCTAACAGAAACAGAACTGTTTTGAATTGTAATTTCTGTTAAATTTTACTCTCTTTGAAATGCTGACAGATATTCAAGGCTCATTGGGTAATGCTATACTTTTTAGAAATGACACATACTGCACACACATTGCTGAATACAAACAGTAAAACACATGCGCAAACAATAATTGCCTCAGTTAATTTGTTTCATGCATCATTCAACGCTTCAGCACAAATCTATAACTCCTCCAGACCCGGAAGAGGACGTGACTCTCAAGCCCTCAAGTCTGGCTGAACTGGAGCCAAGGCCTGTCCAGAGATTAGCTACAAGATTTAATGGAAGCAAAGTGAGATCCTGCTTTGAAAATTCCAGTGTTTAACCCCATGTACCCCCTCTGAAGCTCATTCTATTACACGTGTCCTCACAAAGCCACCAATAGAATACTGTCACGTTGAACTGGGGCAAGTCCCGTTTCCCTACAACATTTGCTACACAAAAGTTCCCCCCTCTTATTTGGAACAAATAAGGCAACCAGAATCTTAGGTTCCTGGAGAGAAAGCTTTTTTTCTCGGTCCATGATTGATTTCCATTCAAATGAAAACAGAAAAGCCATCATGCTCCACGGCATTGTTTGTGGCATTGTTCGTAATTTTCCCAATCATCTCCATCTTTATTTGATTTGTGAGATTGTATCCCTCACTCACACCCGGCTTCTTTCTACCAGTATAAAACTTCTGACACCTGTATTTATAATCTGCGGGACTAAAGCGAACCCCTTTCAAAAATGAGAAAACCTCATTCATTGCAGCCAATTAATCAGCTGCCCTGCAATAATGTTCACACTGGCTATTTCCAATTGTTTCTCTTTTTCACTGTGGTGGAGAAGCTTTTATCGTCCCTTTGCACTGCCATCCATCATTGCAAATGGGCCAGGAACAGAAGCCGTCAGAGAAGTGAATGAAAAAATGACTTGAGGTCCAGCCCGGCTTAGCATGGCTTCCCTTACTTATTGACCATTTCTCACCGGTTCTTTGGGGTTTTTCAACAAGCCCCAAATCAAACGCAAATGTAGTTTTACTGCATAGCTGGTGGGAATAATTTCTTGTTTCAGGTGGTAAGAAAAAGGGAGAGCTCTGGCTGTGCTAAATTATCCCTTTTAACAAAAGAAGCTTTAAGCCATATTCACTGGCTTTGATTTGGATTCCTCAAATAGAATCCAATTAGAAGGTTTGAATGTGTTCCAATGGCCCTGGATAAATTGCCTATATGTGGGGCATAAATGGATGCGACAAAGACCAGAGTATACAATAGTAAAAAAAAACATTGCATATGTATTGATAAGAGCAAGTAATGAACTGAATGGTGAGATGCAGGCTGCTGTGCAAAGAAGTCTAACTGTCTGAGGGAAAGGATAAGAGATGACATTCAGCCCGGTGCATGGCTCCTCTCTCCCCTGTTATTGAAAATGCTGCTCCACCAGGAACTAGATGGCCTCTTTCTGGTCCTGCTCTGCAGGCACGAAGTAGATCCTAAAGGGAGAGATGTAGGACCCAGGAAGGGAGTACAGGGGTGGGGAGGGCAGGGGCAGATGTATGTCACCTTCAAGATATGTTCAGGCTCTTTTTTTCTTTTAGTTTGTCAGCAGAAAGACACAAGAAACAACAACAATTTCAGGAAACAACACGTCTGATTCATTCGGCAGGGCTCCGACAGGTGTACAGCGCCACTGCACCACCTCAAAACACAGCTCATCCCCCAGGTGGGACTTCTAAACCTGGCAAGGCGCTGTTGATCCAACAAGCCAAAGGTTGCTGCGTGATTAAGGCCTTTTTTCAGCGGAGCGATCAGTCGGCACCAAATACTGCCGGAGCTGACTGCCGCCAGTAATCCTCCAGGAGGAATTTAACCCATGCAGAAGGCATTGGTTCGACTGGTCAAGAATGTGCTGCCGCTTCGGGATCTCAATGGTCTAACTTGAACTCCGTGACCTCTCTAAACCCACCCTGCAGCTCATGCAGTGCTACTGCACCCCAGCAGAAAGGAAAGTGATCGGTCCGCAGAAAGCATTCCTGGCTGGCCAACTGTGGTTAATGATGCAAAGTGGAAAGCGGTTGCGAAAGACAAAGAGAGGGAGTCTCCGTGTAACTGGTTTTGGCCGTTCTGCGGACCGAGTGCTGTTGATTGTGTTCGTGACGCCAGCATCACGTGTGCGGGACAGTGACTTTTCTTCTGAGCAGAGTCACGAGGTAAGCTTTGGGACAAGTAAGGTCCTGTTCCGTTTGTCCCTACCCAATGGCACTATGTCAGCGCTATTGTTTGATTGCTAACATGGGAAGGGTTAGAGGTGTGGAGCGTGCAGTGGTGGCAGCGGAGGGCCTCAGGCTGTGACTGATTGCTCTACAAGTCCAGGCGGGCTTAGATGGGTGGGTGCCAGTTATGTTTTTTCCACCCGAGTGTTTTGTTTTTAATCTGATTTTGATGCCGTAGGACGAGGCTGGGTTCATTGGCGTGGCAGCAGAAGGGCTGTTACCCAACAGACGGGTTCTGTCACCTGCAGGCTGACTTAACATAAAGTGGAATGTACATCTCTCAAATGGCAACTTTTAAGTGAAAAAAATGTGACCTTACCCTTGCTGTCGATTGTGCAAGCGGCGCCTTACCAGCACTACAGCTGCAGGAAAGAATAATGAAAAAAGGTCACGGCCGTACAAGAGAAAAGTTCATATTTGCTTAGGGATTAAAAGCTTTACAAGGCACACAAGGACCAAAGAGATTCCAGCCCCACACTGGTGGGATTTACCGCAGTGCATTTATCAACTGTGGAGATTACACAGAAATGATTTCACGTAAAACTACGTTATGTCAAAGCAAAACACAAAAGACTTACTGATTATTACAACAGCTGAAAGAATCACTGCGGCCACAGCAACAATAATGATAATCATGGTCAAATGATCTAAAAGAAAGGAAAGAAAAGTAAGTTAATACAAATAGGTGATTTTTATACATGTACTGTATAACTGAAATACACATCTCACCTGCTGCTTCTTTTACACCCGCAACTTCACCTGGACTCTCGCCATCCAGATCTCTAGCTACAAAAAAGAAGGAATGGAATTAAGCACTTGGACACGAGCTTTTGTCTCCAAAAAGAGGCTTCGGGAGAACCTTGCAGATCCTGCACAGAGGCTGCTTGTCCAGGAGCCGACTGCCCACTTCCAAACAGATCTGTAATTCTATCAAGTGTCCATCAAAGCGAAGACGAGGGGTGACGGAGACAGGCGTGGAGAGAGAATGCCAATGTTGATTAGCTGACCGGCAGAATGGTGGAGATGTCGATGTGCTCATTGGCCTTTTAGCAGGATCCACAGGGCCCCTCCAGGGAGCTAATTGATTCCATTCAGGGCTTAATGGTTGTGAGGAGGGAAAGCCAACAGGGGCCACAAACTCACACATTTCACTGGACTGGAGCGACCTATACACAATGCTGACTTACTGAGGCCGTAACCTTCACACAGGTCTCCTTTGAACCGCTGCCGTTACAGTGTTTATGGGCATGATGCAAAAGTAACTGGAAAACGATTTTCTCTCTCTTTAAGACTCGCGAGGACTGGGGTACACTCACATTCCTGGACGAATAAATCCTCATCATCAATGATCTCCCCAATACCTGTGGGGCAAAGGAGAAATCAGCTGCTCACACACAGTACAGAAATACATGTTCTACAGTGTGAGTTATTTCCAATAAAAATAGTTATTCTACTGTGCAATAGTCAGGAAACCTTTCATTTCTTGGAACTCTATTGAGTAAAATAATTGACTACTATATACAATAACAAAGAATTACATTTGTACACAGAAAAGGATAACCCATTTGAAAGGCAATAACAAATCTGAAAACAAAAACACAACCAAAACTGTGAGTTAAAAACAACCTGAACCTGAAAATTAGGAAGAAAAACCAGTGAGAAGGGGAAGTTTTCAGTCACACGAAACCATGCAACCACGTGGTGCACTTGTGTAAACTGAGGGTTGTGGATATGATTTAGAATTGAAATATATAGTGTGGGGTATTTTTAAAGCTATTTAGTTTGACATGACATCTGTCTGGATTTACCTGTGACATCTGTAAATGACTTAATACACTGACCCACTGAACTCACCTGAGGTCAAAGAAGGACAACGTACACATATCGAAACAAGCCACGTGCGGCAATAATTACTTGCAAATCAAATTAACAAAACCTGTTGTTTAAAGGCGTTTGTAAGGATGCACTACATACCTCCATCTGCAGATCCATCAGTGTCTTCTGAAACAGCTGCAAAAAGGTTGCAGAGTTAGAATACATTACAAGCAGTTATTAAAAGGTTAACATTATTCACCAGACTGCTGCATTCAGAGGACTTTACTGCACAAAAGCTATTCGGGCTACAGTGAGTTTAATGGCACACTTTGTGTGTAAACCGTCTGTCCTTGAATCGCAATTTTACAGCGTTAAGAATACTGTGAGTGCAAACATGTGTCTGCACTTTCTGTGCACTTTCTGTGCAGACACATGGGTAGGTTAGGAAAGCATGCCGACACAGTGATGCACACACCCTGATTAGATGTTTATCACCTGAAGGCGTCACACAGAGATGAGAACATACCAGTAGCAGCTGGCAGCATCAGCAGCAGACCAAGGAACACCAATCGCATCATCTTCAAATGCTGCCGGGGGAAAAGAAAACAAGATAAAAATATCTGCTATTAATATTCAGCCACTGATGTGTGTGGAAACTTGGCTGTTTTGGTTTTGCGATAGGGTGAGACGGAAAGGAGCAACGCTGTCTGTTACTGCGGCTTGTGAAGCACTTTGAGTTTCAGGATCACTTAAGGCTAGTCAGTGGAAAACCATTTACCGAAGTCCTTCCGCAGTTTAAACTGGTGAGCGCGTGCACGTCTAGATAGTAATCTGAGATGGGTCAGTTACTGACAGCCTTATTTTCCATAGCGCTCAGCAGAATTCAGTCAAAGTCAGCTTTGAATAAGTGTCTATTCAACATAACCCCCCCCCCCCCCCCCCCACTCTCCTCCCTATCACGCTCCCACCGAACACACCCGGGTTCTGTGCCAGCCTTTGAAAAAACAAAGTCTCCAATGATGTCCACTGACAAAAACTATTTTGGGTTTGTAGTGTAAGAAACACTGTTGTTGTATTGTCGTTCTTCAGGCAGAATCTCACTACTTCCTGGTGGCACAAACGCCACCTCCGCTCCCCATCACATAGATGCGAAGCACAGATGTTCTTGGCTTGCAAACAAAGCCCCAGCTGTATCCCACACAATGTGAATGCAGATATTTTTGAAATGGGAAAACATGGGAATGACCTCTCCTCCACTCCAGGCCCCGGATGAAGCCTCTTTGGTCCGATTTAGCCATTGAGCTTGGCATGGGATCAGGAACCAGTCGTCATGCAATATTTGATACTCTCCTATTGACCTTTGTTCCAAATGTAGCTGGTCATTGTTAGCCGTGTCCATTGTGTCCTTGTTTTCCTTAGTAGTAAATGACTATGTGGAAAGAAATGAAGTGACCCCCATTGTTAAATTGCAGGGCTGTGAGGGAAAGCAGCAAATCCTCGCTACAAACCCCCACTGAGCAGTTTCAAACTGGTTCATACTTATTACTACAATTTAAGGAAGTGGGTTATGTTTACTGTAAGGCGAGAAAATTGTAATTCCCATATTTGGTGAAAGGAAGTGAAAAAGATAAGCTGCGTGGGCATTATTAAGATTAGTCCAAATCAGTTAATTCTTTACATTTGGTATTTAACGTTCTATTAAAAGCAAGGCATTGGGAATGTGGCCATGAACTGTAATCTAATCTAAAGAGGCGGCCATCATATTCACAGTCTAAAACGTCTATGCGAGACAAATGTCCACCCTGTAGGGCCGACACGAGGACGATACCCGCCCAGTCTACAACAAGTTAAATTAGCAGAAAAGCATTAACATCTATTTCTGTTGATTATATTAAATGATGCTAATCACACAGCTAGGGCTAATTGGATAGGGACTGTAGAGTGGGCTGTTCTCGCCTTTTGGAAAGCTGCAATAAATCTCTCAATGCAACAACCCAAATAAAATCCCCTTCTGTATCCAATTTGCTTTTCAGAGTCGCTTTGGGTGAAACAATAAGCTGATCCAATTCGGAAATATTTTTCAACCCAGTCCACTGCCTCCGTACCAGAATGGCTCCTGATGCTCGTATCATTTTTCAAATTGGGTAATATATTCGTGTACATTTAAATGTCGGTTGAATGTTCTTTTTAACACCATACCCAATTTGCAACCTGTGGCACGGTTATAATAGCAGCTGACTGAAGATGCAAAAATGACCGGAAGTAAACGTGGAAACTATAACACTGGACTGCATCGATGCAAGAAAGTAATACACTGTGATGTTGCTGGAGGGCGAATTGTCTCCCTGACACAACTCTCCTCTGACAGGTTTAACCCTGAACATCATACCTGTCTGGCCAGCACAGCCCCCACCCTAAATCCTGTTTACCAGGTTTAATTGTGAATGATGTACACCTCTCACTCCTTCAAACCTCCCCAGTACAATTTACATCAACAAAATACATACAGAAACGGAGGTTGGCTACGTGTAGATAGTCAAAACTACTTCCAGTCTGCCTTATCTGTTCGCACTGATAACAGACCTCTGCTCAACCGCTGTGCATCACTGACAAGATTTGGATGACAATCACTAACTTGCAAAGTTATTGCTGCAGCCTAGTGAGTTCATAGCAAATCAAATATAATACATGTGAACAAGAAGAGTGGTGAGAGAGAAAACAAAAAGGAGCAATATTCCTTTTTTGTTTTCTTTAACACAACAAACAAGCAAAAAGACAAAAAAAGAGCAGAACTCACAACACCCGTACCTTGATTGATGTCATGCAGACAAGTGAACAGTTCACCATCGATAAGCAATAATTAGCACAGCTAAGCAGTTATTTCCAGTTTGTGGCCGACTTGTTGAGCATCAGGCCAAAAGGCAAACACTAAGAAAACAACTGAGAGGATATGAGTGTGTTTGACCAAACAGCTGCCACATATCCTGTATTTGCTCCACTCCTGCCCCTTCTCTCTCTCTCTCTCTCTCTCTCTCTCTCTTTGTTTGCTTGTGTACAAAAACACAAACCCTTTGAACACACAAGAACGAACAGAGAGGAGACAGAGACATCAAAATGATTTTTTCCTTTTCAACTTTGACTAACTGGTAGAGCCACAAACCGATTCGGGTCCTACAGGGCCCTGAGCACGTACACCTCACAGCTTTACTTATTATCAGATTGAGACAAAGCCGTTTTTGTCTTTGTTTTGTCAACAACACAGTCCCAAAAACTTCCCAAGTCACATTTCTTTTACAGCCATATCCATTTTAAACCACGTCAAGAAACAAGCACCGCAAAATGTGGCACACAGGAAGTGAGAAGCACTTCTCTTCTCACTTCCTGTGTGTGTATATATAAGGAAAAACTCAAGCCCTTCTCTCATTGACCCACCGTACAGCAATAAGTCTCTCTGCATCAGGGACACTCCAAGAGCGGCAAGTAAATAACTTGTGGTGGAGAAAGGGGAAGTAGCCCTGCAGGCTGCATGACGATGCGAATATGCTTGCGAATAATATTCATATGATTTACTTAGTACATGACAGCCATGTATTGACGAAGTTTAAAATGACAAATACAAGAGAAATACAGTTCTACCAAAAAAATACAGCTCGCTTAGAATTTTAAAATAGTACCTTTGAGTGAACTTTTTCATCTGCGGCTCAAAATTGAATGCAATCACCGAGAGTCAGTCGAGCAGTTGCGTAACAGCGGAGGCGACTCGGCTAACACGACAAAACTGGCTCCTGCAGCAGCGTGGGCCACGTTTAGGGAAACAAGACGTTCTCACCTATAAGGGGATTCACAGCCACCTCATAGTGCGCCGATCTGCTACTAAGCTGTTCGCCTCTCAGTCAGCTTTTCGTTTCTGCGGGGAAAATACCTCTGTGTGTCTGCATGTCACAACTGCTGTCAGGACAGTTTCCTGCATGAGGTTAAAATACATACTGCTCTCATGCTGATAAAAGCTGTTGGGCTTGAATTACTGTAATGTAGCTAAATCCGGTATAGTCCCCTATAAGGTAACTTATAGTATTGGTACCTATGTGGTAACAACTTTGCAAATTTGGTAAAGTTGCATAATGATTGATCTTATAAATAACTTGCTAGTACAGAAATACATTCATGCAGAAATGCTGCGACAAGTTGTGGCATCTAAATGATAATACGGATCACCTGTCAGAGTAAGCTCACAAAAGACGACCTCATCGTGTTTTTTTATTGGCACGCATACCACACACAGGTGTGCTATTAGGCCGTCTGTCACTCGTTGCTGACGTCGTGCTTCCTGCTCAATCCCCATGCGTCTCAGTGTTTGCTGTGTTCACTGGTATGCAAATGGCCTAAAAACCAAATTGTCATAGTCATTTACATTTAGTTTTTTCTTGTGTCAGTGCAATCGGTGCTGCTGCTCCAGGTCGGTGTCCTGGGACTCGGTGTGGCAGGGATAGTTTCTGGGCTATTGTTTGGTGGTGTGATTAAATTAGATTCAAAGAGTGGGCTATGACCTGACTTGATTGTCCAACGCTTTCTTCACTCAGCTGTGTCAATCTTTACCCTCACCCCTTCTCTCAATATTTGCAGCATGTTAGCGTTAGCTCATTACTCTCTCGCCAGCAACAAGTCTGAACGGTTGTGCTGTCTGCCAAATGTTTGTCCAGTTTTGAGTGAAAAGTGGGGTATGTCAATCTCTCAGCCGTTACAAAAGATCCTAATCCGGCATTGCCGGAGAAAATTACGCTCAGTGTTTGGTGTCTTGAGAAATCTTTTCCTATATGTCTTCTGTTTAGAAGACATCATTTTGTGTAAAAGTGGATGACACACAAAACACCAGTAAGATTCCCTGTCACAATGCTTTTGCTAATAGTAATATACAAATAGAAATATGTATGTCCCTTTTTGTTTATTTTTAACAGCAGTATGAGGATTATGCTTAAATACTAAGTATATTCATGCAAGTAGACTCATACTCTACACTATATTTAATATAACTAGAAGGTGAACTTACTTTTAAGTGAGTTCTTCTGTTGTTGGTTTTTCTGTTGGTATGTTGTTGTATGTTGTCCCTCCTACGCCAACGTCCTTGTTATCATGGAAACTGCCAGAGTGAGTGTGCACGTTAATACAGGTGTGACCAGTCAGGAACTAGGAAACGGGTTATTCATTGGCTGCTGAGCGGGTTGAAATCTGACACCACCAGTTTTTTTACAAAAAAAAACCTAACAATAGTAAACTTAATGTGCACATAAGGAAACCGCTCACAGCTGTCAGTAAATACGTTAATAGCTTTTTTGCAAATGTGTTTTTTGCTGTTATACAACCATCAACTGCTGTGAGAGTGGTCCATATTTGTTTGAAATCCATGTTATTAGTCACTTTATATGCATATATCCTGCTGTTGCGATGTGTGAGCTTTTTGAAATGTTTTGTACTACCGCTACATAAAAAAGTAACAACATTTTATGAGCCTGTCCGTGACAAGTTGCAAAGTTTCTGATTATTTCCCCCCCACACAATGAGCCAACAGCTAATGTTACCCATCAAGTACTGCAGCAACTGGTGTTTGGACCTCGGTGACTGTGACGGTTCTGGGAGGCAGATTTGTGCAACACGTGTCACTTTCTGCTGACCAGCCCAAACCTAATTGCCTGCCTTTGTCTGCTCCTCCTTCCTCATTGTAGAAAACATATTCTCCTGGAACTTCAAAAAATAACCTGTAACCTGGCTGCCTTTAAAATCTACAGTTAGGACAGCTAAGAGGTTCAAGTTTAATCGACAGGTGTTTATTGACACTGACGAGACATTTCAAGTCGTATAAACGGTTATGCACCTTAAAATGATTGTTAAGACAGCCAGTTACTTTCTTTATTAATCTTAATTACAATGTTAAGTTAATTAGGAAGCGAAATGAGTTCTATCAACTAGATAGAACTACTTTTTTTTTTTGCGGTGTTCTACCCAGACTGGTTATGACCAGAGCCTCCTTGCAACCCACTACTATCTCATTGCTCCTAACGTCCACAACCAGACTGCTGTCAGCCAGACGGTGACCATCAGCTCGGTGTGGACATCAGTAGGTATTAGAGAAGGGAAGTGCTTTTTGAATCCAACGTGTGACCCAGGGGGGGTCTCCTTTAGTTGGCTGCAGGGCTGCTGCAGAGTGTTGACCACCAGAGCATCCCCAGCCTCCCTGCCTCAGAGGTGAACACCCAAACAGCTATATGTGTATTGGTAGGCTTCACCAGCTGCAAACACATTGCTTGTGTGGATTTGCTAGAATCAAACCAAAAACAAGTTTTTATTACACATTATATCCCTCCCCTAGCTTCAGTGTCGCCAGTAAGGAGTGAAAGGTGGCATCATGAAGGTCATCTCAGTTATGACCTCAGATAAAATCCACATTACTGGTGACAGTCCCTATCGACTTGTTTACTTCACATGCGGCGGTGTATAATGTCTCTCATCTCTAACAGTACTTCCATCTGGTGATGGTATCTGCCAGCCTGTACCTATGTTGGATTTAGGTGATCGGAGACGGCAGGTACATCACAATTCTCAGACAGGAGATTTAAAGTCCTGATTTGTTTGCACCAACAGAGATGTGGGACACTATCTGAGTAACATGAACACGCAACTTTATCCAGCATTTTGTGAGAAAAATATGAATTGTTTGTGTTTGAGTACTTTGCATTACGTTTTGAGTATTTGATGACTGTATTCATTCGTGTCAAAGTAACACATGCTATTTGTACTTCTCTTTTTTATTTCAGTTGCAGCTGCGTAAGTGTCAAGTGTGTTAATGGAAGTGTTGTTATGGGGAGTGTACTGAACAAACTGGAAATAATCATACACTTTTTAGAGCTGGCAATTAACATTGTTTTTTCTTGTATTTAAACACATAGGTTAATGTACAGAAGAGTAACTTTCCACTCACTTGAAGGAATAAATCCCTGAATTCTTTTCTGAGGTGCTCCAGAAACTGCTTTGGCCCCCGCAGCGCGACTGGAAGCATCATCTCCAGGCTGAATCTCGCCCGGTTTTTAAACAGAAACAACCTTCACTCATGCAGGCGAGCATCATTTGCAAAATGATATCCGTTCATAGTTGCAAGCCTGAAAATGAATATCACATGACTATTCATGCACGCTGGGGATGTGGGTTCCGGTGTTGTTGTTGGTTGCATGTTGGTTCCTTAGTTACAGAAACTACAACAGAGTACTACAGTAAGCTTTGATCATTAAAGGTGATTGACCCTTAAAATTTTCCTCTTTAAACTCAAACAGACATATTTGGAAAGTTTATGTGGCGATATGTAGAGAAGTTTAAGAATTTTGATTTTTTTAAATGGGCAAAAAATACTGCAGGTGTTCTCTATCTCCCTCTCACACACACACACACACACAAACACACACACACTCACACATAAAATGCACTATTTTACATCTTTCACTTGTTTCGCTGTCGGTTTTCTCACTTATCAGCTGTGCTGGTGGTTAACCATGACTTCAGCGCAGAGAATGCCGCTGGACATTCAGTTTTCAGTTTTCGATGCTGTAAAAGTCCGGCGTAGCGAGAACCTCAGAAGGCCAAACGTACATCCGCCCCACTGGTGCCTGTGACATGAATAACCACAAAATGTCACCAGCCTTTTCCTGGGTTGTTTGTTTGCTCTGTGTTTTAAAGAACGGTTGGGTGACACATATTAACAGTGCCTCACTTTTCTTTGTAGAGCAACCGGGAGCTGGGGAGTGTTTCCACCATGTTCTGCGAGTCAGCATTTTCCCCCGAGCGAGAAAGCTGCACCCTTAACAACACTTGGGGCTGTGCAAAGAACGGTTTGCTCAGCTGGTTCTTCTGGGTTGGCTGACAGTTCCTCAAAGGCTAACTGTCGCTGAGCTGCAGCATGCATTGATCTTGCATTATCAAATTTTGTGTCACTTTACCTTTCTGACGTGGTTGTTATGCAAATTCACGCCAGTGTTTTCTCACTTCCCTGTGATTTCACTGAAAGGAGGTTAAACTCCTGCCCCTTTTAATAGTTATTTTTGTTTTTTTTTAATGCAATGCTTATCAATCATAGGTACCAATGCACCTTGCAATTCATTGATTACAGTTGTCCGTGTCTTTGTGTGTGCAGTTTTCTCCTCCCTACTGTTGACCATTATCCTCCTCTCCAACCAGCCATTTTCTGTCCAATAGTCATTATGAGTCCCGTGGCTCAACCTGCTCTACCACTTGGGTGGACCCATATTGTTTTAAGCGGCCTGCACCCTCTCACCCTGAGAGCATAGACGTTAGTTTCACAATCTTCTTGTTGACTTGAATGAATTCACTCTGAAGGTCACGCCACACATAGTAGTTATTTTTCAATTCGATCAATTCACTTTATTTGGCTTTGGCCTAAATCACAAATTTGCCCCATAGGGCTTTTAAAATCGTGCTGCCTTGTGCGGATTTTCAAATGCAATTTTGGCCCCCCCTACAGGATGATGGTATTCCCTTTCATTATAGCCCTACTGCACTGGTCTTCTCTTTGGTGCTGCACACTTACATCTACACCAATATGGGCTTTGAATTGAGTCCCAGCAAAAAGGGCATATTTGGAAGTAGTCCCTTAAACAAATATGCTAACACCGTGTGTGTGTGTGTGTGTGTGTTAAATTCACACACTGTGTGTTAAATTCAACGCGGATCCAGCATGACCTCACAGCAAATAGTCCAAAGAAGGATCTCAGACCCCAACATCTTGTGAAAGCTTGAAGAAGTGGACAGAATGCTCGGTGTGTGAAGGGCTGTCAGGAAGGGAGTTGTCAAAAATGTTCATCTGAGCGCCTGTCCCTCTTCTCTGACCCTTTAGGCTCGGGGAAGACTTTTTGAAGTCAATGGACCATTGACACAGCGTCATGGAGAAGTGGACTCCTCCAGCTTCTACAAACATGGCGTCAGTGACCTGTGTCTCCATGGAGGTCTCCAGCCTGTACTGTGTCCCTCCCTGGCAGAGTATCCTGCCTTTATGCATGCAGGAGGCCTGCATTCTGCTGTAAGTGTTAATGTGCTCCCAACTCTGAAGTGCCAGTGAATTCAATTAATATCCTCTACACTTGTAACTCTGCGGTTTGCAGTTCAGCATCATTGCACACCAAATGGAATATGGAGAGTTTGCAGATGCCTGTGAGAGCAAACAACACTTAATCATGTTTAGATTGTTGATATTGAAAACGCAACATGAGAAAAGGGAAATGGAGGACATGATATCCGATCAGCCAGTAAGAACTTAATGTTTGTTCCATTGTTATTTATTGAAAGTGTTGAAAGTGTATGATGTTGCGATGTGACTCAAAGCACTATTGAGGCCACAACAATCCCGGTGCTCTTGGACCACTAGATGGTACCAATGCATCACTGGTCAACCTTAACCTTTCCAACATGTTCATGTCTTCCTGTCCTTAGTGACTGATGTCTCTCTGTATCCCCACAGATTTGTCACTCTCTCCAATAGGGGTTACAACAGGAGTTCTGAACAACATGAGGTCCACCTCTGCCTCGGCTGGCGGATTAACACAGCAGCGTCAGAGAGACCAGCCTCTGTGAAGCAGGTTTAGTTCACAGTGACGGCGTTGGGGTCTATGCAGAAAACCGGGACCGCTTTCACAGTGGAGAAAACCTCGAGGCAGGAGACGAGGCGTCTGCATGTGAGAAAAGCTGTTTGTGTCATGCTGCGGCACACATGACTTCCCGTAATAACTCCTGTGGAATAAGGAGTGGAAGCTTACTAGAGGAGTTCAAGGTTGCCACCCGGGACTCAAAGTGGCACACTGCTCTGTTGATGGTTCCCAAAGCACCGCGTTTAATGGACAGGCGTTTGAATTTCATGGTTCATGTAACTACACCTTGGTGCAGATGGGCCTCAATAAAGTGGATGCGGAGCCTGTCTTGATAGCTGCACAGGGCGACCACAGTGAGGGCAGGCACATCTACTTGCAAGTCAATCAAATGTTAAGACATCAACAGCTTTTTCTGGAAATATTAAGGTAATTATTTCACAGCTTTCAGAATGATTGATTATTTTTCTCTTAGAATGCAATGTAAAAAAAATAAAATCACAGTGTACACAAACTGCTGGATAGTCTCTATAATGTGTTTTTTTAACATAAATTATTCCACTGATGTAAATGCCGTTTACGAAAACCTGCCAGAAAGATGGATGACTAAGCATCAAGACCCCACAGTCCGTTGGGCTTATATCAGACCTGTGAAAGCACATTCTGTTCAAGATGTGTGGTCTTTGTGGGAACTACGATGATAATCCCTCAGTTAACATGCAGCTATCCAATGGCACCACGGCCTCTGATCGTTATGTTGTTGAGCCTCATATCATGGAGGTTGTTAGATAATGAAACATTGTGCAGCGACAAATGTGACTTCATTACAATTTCAATTAATCATGTGTGGAACGATATCATCCTGCTTGGGACCGGCCGCGGAGCCGCGTCGTTGCGTAGAGGATGAGAGAAGGTTTAAGCCGGGAAGTAAACAAACTGCTTTGTCGTTCAAATCTATCCATCGCTCTATTTCTGTTAGCAAAATTCATGTTACCTTTTCAGTATGCACATTCCCCCTAAAAATACTGGGATTTATTTTCATGTTGTTTCTATTTCCATGCCTCAGAGAGCAAACTACTGCATAAGTGTACTGTTACCCGTACCTGCGGGTCTCCTCTTGCCTGCCGCACAGCACAGTTGTAGAGTTTCAGATGGAATCATGGTTTGCCACAAAGATGGTGATTATCTAAACGGAATCTACGTTTTTTCATGTTGTTGGAAGTAAAATAACTGTATTTTTCTTTTTAGCTGAGCAAAATCCAGATCCAGGTGAGGAGAGATATGAAAATCTTGTCTGTGCTGTGCAGATGGACTTGGGGAGGACAGCACTACCCACACTAAACTTAACCATGGCTTATAGGCAACATGTGTCTGCTTGCAGTCAGCAAAGGGGCCCCGTTTGGTCTGACATAGTGTGTCCTAGAAAAACAACCATAATGACGACACAGCTCCATCTTACACTCAGGTCGTCATTGTATGTTATGTGGTTATCGTCCAGGATATATGTAAGTAAATGCCAGTCATTGATGAAGAAATGCTGATCTGAGTCTCTTTTATTTTCACGTTAATGGTCAGGTAAGGTATTTCTGTAATTACACGTGGTTCCCCTCCCATTAAGACGAGGGCAGAGCTGGTTTACCGGCTCTTTGACAGGGACAGCAACTGCTGTACTGGTTGTAAGCAGAAACTAGATGAAGTGACTTTGCCAGCAGATGGTCAAATCTATTCAATCCCAATTCTTTCAATGACAGTAATGGAGTTGAACACATATATAACGGAATGTCAAGTTTCATCTGACGAGGCTATGTATTCATATTCCATCGTTTGCAGATAAGCCAAGTGTGGCTACTATGTTGCAGTGGCATTTGCAAAGTAGTTGTGTTGACGAATGAAAAATACAATGAATATTGTAATATAATCTTTAAACGAGACACCAATAAATCCTTTTGCATGTGCCCTGTCCAGCCAATAGTCACCACAAGACCTGTAGCTAAGCCTGTCCTCCATCCTCTGAATGTAATGTCACAGTCTTTTACAAGGTTTTGGTGTGTAGGGCTGATTCAGCGTGGCTGTGAGCCACCACATCAATGAGGCTCTACAGGCTCCAAAGGAAAATACCACAACCTGACAACCAGTTGAGGTCTCAGTGAGGACTTTGGGAAGTCTAATTAACACTTGAGTGAACCACCACGTCACTCAAAGGTGTTTTTTTTTCTTTTTTCCCACCCGTACCCAGGTTGATCGTCTGTTTAAGGCCTTTCCATACTTCATCATTCCCCCCACAATGTCAAGTCAAGGCCCCGGCCCACATCCGCCCCGCCAGAAGAGTTCTTTCACGAGCCCATCGAATGATCCTGATTTATATAGAACCGGCCCGGCAGACCGCAGCAAGCCGGCAGCCCGCAGATCTTTTACACGCACCAATACTACATTTCCCACAATGCAACGGTGACGCACCGAGCAGTAGGCTGCTTCATTTCAATATTTATTGGCACAGCAGTTGTCAGCATCACAGTAAAATTAACTTTCAGATACCCATCAAAAATGGCAAAACGGAAGGTGGACACTGAGAACCGGGGGTTTCAAACAAGGTGGGAGTCGGAGTATTTGTTCACGGAGGTAGCTGGAAAACCTGTGTGTCTTCTGTGTGGAGAAAGTGTGGCGGTACTGAAAGAGTATAATCTGCGTTCCCGAGCGCACAGTTGGCTGATAAAATAGGTATGCTTGCCGCTGACTTTCGACGCCGATTTGCTGACTTTGAAGGACAAAAAAGCAGGTTGGAACTGCTCGGTAACCCATTTGCTGTTGACGTGGAAAGCTCACCACCAAACCTCCAAATGGAGTTGATTGACCTCCAATGCAATGATGCACTGAGGGCAAAATATGCGGCAGTGGGTGCTGCGGAGTTCGCCCGTTTCCTCCCCGACACAATGCCCCAGCTGCGCATCCGGGCTGCTCAAACGTTGTCTATGTTTGGCAGCACATACCTGTGTGAACAACTGTTTTCTTTGATGAACTTGAACAAAACATCACACAGAAGTCGACTTACTGCTGAACACCTCCACTCAATTCTGAGGATTTCCTCAGCTCAGAGCCTTACCCCGAACATTGATGAACTTGTGGAAAAGATGGGACACCACCAAGTATCACCCTCAACCTCAAACAAGTGAACATTACTGTGCAATCACATATTTAGTTTTTACTCAGTTCAAGTTTAAAAGTTAAAGTTTAATATTTGTTTTCACTGCATGTTACTTCTCCTTAAACAAAGTGTTGTTTTTGATTAATAGATTTTTGCACTTTATTTTATTGTATTTCAATCCAATTATATTTTAAAAATATTTCAGTTGAGTGGATGATAGAAAATTGCTATTATTGTTTTTTTCTTTGAAGTAAATTTAGCCCACTTTTGCTAAAATAGAAAATATAGGCTACTGATGGTGCCATGAATACCGGTTTCTTTCATTTAATGTTCATGTTATGGGGATTTTTATATAAAGGAAATTTGTCTTTTGTGTCTGTTGAAAATTAAAGATTACTGACAGAGCCATAAGAAAATATTGCTTTATTTATCTGATCATATTGGAATATATTTGTTAGGTTTTCAGTAGGTTCAATTAGGTTCACTAGACTATATGCGTCATTTAAAAATTTTTCAATGAACATTCGAACAGTCCGGCCCTCGGCTTGTAGCTAAATTTTTTATTTGGCCCTCCGTCCATTTGACTTTGACACCCCTGATTCACACTGATGTAAGATTACAGCTGACAGTCTTCAACACTGCAGGTGGGAACTTGAATACGTCCCAAGTGATGGCCAGTTTGTGGTGGTCTCCGATTGGTTGCTGCATGCTGCATTCTACCATGAGACAATTACAACTGCAATAAAGGGGAAGTGCCATGCAGACTCATGGAAAACTGTTCACTGAAGGACGGCCTTGCCCCGCCGTTATGGGGTGTGTCGAGTGATGTGCTGCCGTTGGCTACATCACTCTTGGAAAACAAAAGTGAGTTCGGGTTAAAGAAAATGGTCATACAATTTTTGCAGCCTTAAAAACCTTTAATGCTTCAGGTATGTGGAAAAGAATGCAAACTGTGCCACAGGTGTATATAAAACGCTTTGCAGAACTCCTGCGCAGTAGTAGCAGCTCCTCGACATCATGGCACTGAGGTCTGTGAGAGAGAATGCAAAGAGTGCTGGCAGTCTCCACACAACAACATGGTCTGTGATATGCTGTTGTGGAGATTGATATTTACACGCTTATGTGCATGAGGGCAGTGTGTGCTGGGGCAGGGCAGATGGACTCATGTCTGGCACTGGGAAGGTATTCTGCAGCCTGCCAGGCAAAAGCAATACCAGTAGGACAGTGGAGGGGGAATACCCTTGTGGTAAGTGAATAATGGGGATCCATGCTTCAATGAGAATCGGATCCACTTTCAATGGTTTGTATTTTTTACCATTATCCCTCCAGTGTCTTGGCCGCAGCAGCCCAAAAGAGTTTGTTGAATCCAGTTCCCACTCATTCACTTCTCTGATCCAATGTGTTTCTTTAGCCACTCGTTGTTCAGAAGGCTGTGCCACAATACAAACATGTTTGATAGGGACGACTGTGTACCTTACCATCAGTGTGGGAGTGTTGCTTATGTTAGACGAATGAGCAATGTACACTGCGCTGACTGAGCTAAGAGAAGCTGCTGTCGTCCTCTCATGTCGTGCTGTGTGAGGAGGAGGCAGGCCGCAGTCCTGGGCAGCAGCGTGATCCGACAAATGGTTCCTGGGTTGTTCTGACGGACCGGATGTCTGTGAGCTCAGGGGCAGCCTCCCAATCTCCACATTCTTAGGGGACAGCGACTGAGTTTGGAACCTTGCTTATCTTGTGTCCCCTGTGACAACGTGTAAACTGGGGTTTTGTGTCCCTCCCTCACATCTTGATATCAGGGGTCTCCCTGTCATTTGGTTGAAACGCAGATAAATCAGAGGTCAAAGTGAGACAGTCATGGTCCATCCCTCCAAAACGGGCAAATTCTGTGGTCTATATGCAAACCTTACTGACCTTCAACCCACACAGGTCAGTCAGGTCATGCGTTCTCCCTGACTTTCTTGGCCGGTAAGTGACGTCCTTCACAACAGTACTGGGAGTTAACTGACTATAGTGCATACTGAAAACTATATAATATAATTAACTATATTTTCTTTTTTAGTGGCTTTTATGGAAGATATTGAGCAATTTTATGTCTCTCTATGACATGATCTTACTCCAAGGAAAGTCAAACTCGCTCAATGGAACCTTGGCCAGTTTCAGGAGGCGCAGAAAAACGAGCTCCTCGGGCCGCAGGATGACTTTGTATTTATGCCATTCAAAAGAATAATATGCTCTTCTCATACATTTATACTAGAAGAACTCTTATCATTTAGGCCCGCGCACCTTTTTCAAAATAAACTAATCTCTAGCCCATGTTGATTAGGTCCCAGGGAAAAAAGGAGTAAGGTCACACCTTTTTATCTAAATCCATGTGTGCTTTAACTAAGCCAGGCTTACTGTTGCCCTGCCCAACGGTTCTGATGAAGTGAGCACTAATTAAATATTTGAGATTTTTGTTATCGTTCTGTTTTTTGTTTTGTAATCTAATGCAAATTGACCAGGGCCATGTAATATTTAACTTCTCTCGGTCATGAATGATTGTAACAATCTCCAATGTGTGTTCTTATTTTTGGTTGACACACAAAACCAACAGAAACCGCCCATCAAACAGAACTACAGCAGAAATGTTAGTTTAATTCAATTTGATTGATCAAATTCGTATATCAGATTATTTCTATTGTTGCAGTGTTACAAGGGCATGTCTTTGTTTCTAATCATAATGCAGTTTAAAGGACACAATATCTACATTGCCTTGATTCTTGGATGGTGTAGACGCTTGCAATGCAATGCATCACAGATTTTGGGGTTGTTTTTTATAAAACTAATAGACGGCATAAATTACGAAACATTAAGTTGGTGGGTAGCGAAAATAAACACACATGTCATATCATTACAAAAATTGGTCATATGACCGCATCATTTTGAAAAGCCATCAATTTTACTCATCCTCCAAAGGAGAGAGATGCATGGCATGAGAGTTAAGCACATTGTTGCTCCAAAAACTGATTTTTCCTTTAAAAGAAAATTTCTTTGATTAAGGTTTTTCGATTGTAGTGTCTAAATCATAGACACGTTTGAGAACGTTTCACACATGTTTTAGTGCTTTAGCAGGCTACACAATAAGTCTATAGTTAGCATGACGTTAGCTCTTAACTGCTAAATCATGCTAGTTTTTTAAACTTGTGGGTCGGGGGTGATTCGTGTCAAAGGGCCTGGGTTAAGTTGTGCCAGTGGCCCACTTGTGATTATTTTCAACATATTATCAGTTTGTAATTGTACTCTCACATTTAAGGAAACTATGTGACATTCTTAATTTTAGACCAACACCCATCATTCCATGCACATATAAACGGAAGACAGACAGGGCTTCAACTCCTCTGGTGGAGTTGGACA